TGGGCAGGAGAGAGATGGCAAATCTAAAGGGTTTGAATAAAGATTTTAACACAGGACTGTTTACAGCAGTAGGCATCCACAGGGACCATGAAGTCCCTAAGAACTAACGCCACATAAAATCGCTGCTAGCGCCACACACTCGCATGGGCAAAGGAAGGAAGCATTTCAGCAGCGCCTGCAGGAACGGGAACTGTGGAAGACAGGCTGTCCAACAGGACTGTGGCCGGGAAGGCAGGCAGCCATGACCAGACCACAGCAGGGCAGGACGGAGCAGCAGGAGGGCCCGTGCCCCACAGTTTGTCCCATCAGCAGCTCTGCTCGACCGTTCACTGCCAGAAGCCAAGGGCAAGGGAGCCTTGGAGAAGCCCAGGATGCAAGTTAGTTTCCTGGAGCAGAGAGCAGGTCAGGCAGTCCACACTGAGCAGTGACTTTGGAGAGTGACTGGTGCTGAACACCGGTTCATTTCTGAAAGATCTCTTGGTGGGAAGTTTGAGGGAGGATCTTGAAACTGGTTTCCAACAATTTATGACATTCTTCCAGAGATTGGATCCTGATAAACCTCTGTCACTTGTTGACTAGTCTTGGGACTTGATGGGTTTAAACCACAATGAACCTGAGGATAAAATTCTTAGGGTTTTTTTGTACGGGGGTTTGAAGTTAGGGCCTCACACTTAGGTGCTCTACATTTGAAGCACTCCACCTTTTTTTTGTGTGTTGAATATTTTTGAGATAGGGACTTGCTTTGAATGGTGATCCTCCTGATCTGTCTCCTGAGTGGCTAGGATTACAGGCATGAGCCATCAGCACCTGGCCTCTGCTAGTTTTCTTCTTTTTCATATTTTCTTTATTATTATTGCTGTTGTTGTTAGTGTTATTGTGCTGGGGGCACATCGTGACATTTATAAAAGTTCTTAAATATATCATACTGAATTCACCCCTCCATCACTCTCCTTCATTCACTCTTTCTCCATTCCTGGAATAGTTTCAACAGGTCTCACTTTTCCATTTACATGTATATGTGCACAATGTTTGCACTATATCCACCCTTCTATACTCTCTCCCCATTCCGCCCCCCTCCCTCTGGTACCAATTCCCCAGACAGGACCTGTTTTGCCCTCTTGTTTTTAAAGTCAGGGTTGCAGCACGAGTCCATTGTATCAATCAAGCGATGGGACTTTTTTTTATGACAAGCATTCAGTCTAGATTATAGGAGATCAGCGCCATTTTTAAGCAATGTCAGATTGGGCTTGTAAAGTTCTTCAAGGGTTTGATTCTAGTGTTCATATGGAACTTTCAAAGAAAATCATCCAGGACAACTGTCTCAGAGTTGTTCTGAGGACAATGAGGTAGACTTGACTGTAGTGTTGCCAGATGTATCTGATACATTATTTGATATGGTCCCTAGAGTTTTACCAGGGTAATTACTCTCGTGGGTCACTGTAAATGGCTTTAGTTAGAGTTCTCTTTCTTTTTCTCTCTGGCTTATTTGGCATTGTGGTTTCTTTTATTCTTCTCCTTTTTCTTGGTACTAGGGCTTGGCATTCTGCCACTTGAACCACACCTCCAGCCCTTTTTTGCCCTGGTTATTTTGGAGATGGGGTCTTGCTTTTTTTCTCAGGCTGACCTGGACCATGATCTGCCTAATTTATATTTCCTGATGTTAGTGGAATGATAGGCATATGCCACTATGCCCAGCTTTTTTTTTCCTGTAGAGATGGAGTCTCACAAACTTTTTTTGCCCTGGCTGGCTTGAAACCATGATCCAGCTAATATCTGCCTCCCAAGTAGTTAGAAGTACAGGTGTGACCCACTGGCATGTGGCTTGTGGTTTCTTAATAGTAGGTTGAAGCATACAAGACTATCCACATCGGACCTATAACCTATATAACCTATAAACGCCTCAATTTCATATAATCAAACCTAATAACATATTCTGAATATAGTTTCCTTCCCTTCTCCAGATCCCAGTGTGTTTCTTTAAAACCCTAGTCAGATATTCTAAGTGCCAGTGTATTTTCTGCTATTCAAGATTTCTAAATATTACAGGCATGAAATTTCAGTTCTCAGAAGCATTTTTTAGACAATCCTAACAATACATAGATTGATTCCTGGTACAGCCTCTCCATGTGCCCTATAGACATGCACTCTAGGGCTCACAGTCTGCTTTTAGACAAGAGACAATAGGAAATTGTGAGGATTTGAGATTACATTAAGCCCGTAATTCTCAAAACATTGGTTCTGGTGTCTCGTCCCCAGATTTTATGAAAACATGCTTTCTTATCTTGCTGATTTTGCAAATGTGCCAACAGAACCCTGTGGGTCACTGTCCCTGGTAGTTATTTGCTTTATCAGAGATTAGAGACACAAATGCACAGGCGTGCAGAATGCCAAGGCTATTTGGGCTCAGTTCCATTCTGTCTTGGCCATTTTGTCCTTCATAAACCAATAAACTCTTGTTTGGAGATTTGATCGTCTCCAGGATGAGTTATGGACACTTAATCCATAACTTTGCTTGTGCATAAAAAGACTTGGCCAGTCTCACATTATGTCAACTATCTTGACAAGGGTTGATGATGGTAAAGATACTGTAAATATTCATCTCACTGTATTATACATGGAAATCTAAGTCATTCCTCTCTGTCCTGATTTCAAAAGAAAGAAAAGCTATGATGATCCAAGGATATGTAATTTATTCAGCATCTTGCTTTTAGCACAGTTAATATGTGTTTTAGATTAACACCACGGTAGAGTTTTTCTCTGAAAAGCCACCTCAAGTTGCAGAATGATTTGCCAGTTCAGTGGCAGTGTCTATGTTAGTGAGATGAATAATCTAAAAAGAACATAGCAAAACAAACAGAAAACAACCAGACTGTCATTTATTATTAATACAAATTGATACAGTGGCATATGATATTGAAGAAATCAGAAATTCATAACACACAAATTCATATTCGGAATACAAAAAATCATGGAAGGGTCGAGAAATCAGGTTGACAGCACCACAAATGTTTTACTCAGTCTGAGCAGGTGTGTAGTGTCCAATAACAACAAATACCTATAGGACACGGAGACTGAATATCATAAGACTGTGCAAACTCTATTTCCTATCTGACAATAGGAATCTGCAGGAGTCCTCCAGGCTACCTGGGGTACAATAGAAGGGTGGCAAGGCAGAAAAATGGTGCAGACCATTATTTCTTTTAACCTTCACAGCCAGCTTTTGATAGCAAGTAGCAACCCCTGAGGGTTCTGTGTTTCTTCTCACCTGAAGGCATGATATCAAAGGTTAGTAAAACACACACAAGGCATTAGTGAGCAAGTTAGAGAGAGTGAAAGTAGAGCTTTCACTGAAATATTATCCACATCAGTTAAATTTTCTGATCCCTCAGATGAAGTAGAAAACGTAAATAAAATGGGCAGTTCTAAATCGAAGAGGCAAATCTCAACTCCACATCTTTCAACACTTTTTATTTAGGAAGTGTGCGCCCACTGAAAAAGTAGTAGTAATTTATTACAGGGTGTAATGAGTTGGGTGAAGAGCAGAACTGGAGGCAGGAATATTTCAACGGCTTTCACACATAGCTCACTGTGTCCAGGTCCTCAGAGGCAGATGTTCCTATCATTTCCCATGCAGGTTCATTCTGCCACTTATCTGTCTGTACTTTTCCCACGCATGTGTCCCCATTCAGTAGTAACAGAAGGGTGTGCAGGAAGAGCCCTGGAGTAAACGCAAAAGGGCTGCTTCAATGCATTTGCATTCTAGCACCCTGAGCAGTGACCAGGGTGGAGAGTTTTTCCACAGATGATTGGATCCCTGTCCTTGCAGAATTGGCATCTGCCCTCTAGGTTGTTCTGGAAAAGATTCAGTGCCAGGCTCATGGCTTTCTAGCCAGTGACAATTCTGGATGTCCTGAGGCAGATATGGAAGTTCTGCCCTCAATAACCCAGGCTGGTTTGAAGTAGCACCTGACTGGTCCTGAGTTTCTGGGCTCACCCCAATCTGCCCTTTTGTGAAAATTTTGCACTCATCTCAGAATGTGAAGCCAGACTTTCCTCTGGATTCCCTGTTCTGGATGCTGATTCAGTCTCACCTCCTGCTAATACATTATTACAATTTTTCTATTCGTGTCTCCTGAGGACCAGGACCAGAATCATGCTTGTATCAAGTGGTATTTCTTTGCTCCAATTGGAGGACTATTACACAATCCAAGTAAAAGAGAGAACTTTTTTTCTTCTTTATGTGCTGGTGATACTGACACCATACTCTCACTTCCTCTTCCTAAATTTATTCTTTTATCCCTCACCTACTACACCGTTCATTCATTCATTCAACAAACATGTCTTGAATACTTATGTGCAAGACACTGCAATCTGCTCATGCAGGTCCTCCTCCCAAGGAGCGTAGAATCCAGTCGAGTTGCCTAAAACCTCTTGTGTTTCATTCTTTCTAGCTTTTAATATCAAAGGGTTTCCAGTATGGAAAGATCTCAAAGAGCCGATCATTCTAATGCTAACATTACACAATGTGGACGCTTTGTTATTTTCTCAGTGATTAAGAATGTCTCTTACTCTTGAATAATGAAATTGTGCCTCCAGTTCAAAACAATAGGACATGCATGCTTATGGTTTTGCTAATAAGGCAGAAACAAAAGAGCAACAAAGGCAAACCATGTGCATACTAACACACAGAATAGTTAAGCTGATATTTAAACACTCAATTATTTTAAAGCCATTTATTTATGGCCTTGTCATGTGCTGATATGGTAAAAATTAGTGCCTGAGCTACCAGCAAAGAACCCCCAAAGAGAAATCCCTGAAATACCACCCCAGGGACAGCACCTTCATTTGCTGTGTGACACACAGCAAGAAGGACCAGTAAGCATCTGTTAACTCTGGTTTCATTCCAACCTGGGCTTTCTCTTAATTCGCTTTATTAAAATGAATCATTTGCTTTCTGAAACACTAACAAAATTAAAAACCCATTGCTAGCCAAGCACATGGGCTTGTCCATTGCCGGACTGGGCAAAGCCTGTGGTAGCAGGAAAGTGTACTGATTTTGTTTAAGCATTCCTGGCATACAAAGGCCATGAGGTTTTCTTTATCAGGCCAGGCCCCACCTTTCTCCAGGTTTCACTCCTACCCCTTTATAAGTACTTGTAAAGAAGCTCTCTAGTCTAAAACATATTGATACCTCTAGGCAAAAAAACGCTCTGGAAAAGCAAAAATGTACTTATAGGCTACCACACACAGGCCAACAAGTGGAAACACTGTGCAAGTATATAAGTTGTGCTGATTAGCAGAATTTTCAATGGAATCTTGATATCAGAGTTAGTATTTTGCTGCCCAGAGGTCCAGGAAAAGCCCAAGTAGAAATGGGGGAAGAAACCAAAGGCTCTGAATCCCTCTCCCTCTTTGGATATCTACCACAGTCTATTCCCAGTCCTCTGAATTCTATTAGCCAGTCTAATTGTCCAGCGTCTGTCCTAGTACTACAATACTTATTTCTAAGATCAGCCTCACAGAGGAGCTCCCTAGTAAAGGGATCCACAGACGTAATTCTACTCCAATCCCCCAGGGGTCTCAGTGGTTCTTTGTTTCGTGAGGTAGCTCAGTTGTGAGTTGATGTATGTGATGTGTGCCATCCGCCACTCAAAGCTATAGTTTTCCCTTTTTTATCTGCAAGATTATAAAAATACCAGTATTTCCCCCACCCCTCCCTGATTTATAAAAATGATTTTAGAAAAAATATACTTGGGTCTCCTCCATCAAACTTCTGTTCCATCTTGTAAATTATTGTGGACTCTGACTTCCAGATTCAATTTTTTTACTTTAGCACCTTTGAATACATAGGACTCCTCGCTGTCACTCAATATGTTGACATTTCGTACAGTGCAGTACTGTCTGTTCACGTTTTTCTCCACCCTGTCCAAATTCCTCTTGGGCACATCCACCTTGGTATTCAGAGGGTACTCGTCCAAAAGGTCCTCTGTGGGCTGCTTCTTCCTCTGTTTCTGGCATTTCCTAGTGATGAAACAAGCCACCAAAAACACCAGAAGTAGAAGCATGATGGCGGCCAGGGCACTACCAATTGATGCACCAGTCTGGGACAGAGAAGCAGCTATAACTGGCTCCTGTATCTCCAGATTCAGGGACTTCATATTGGTGCCATTCTTGACTTGGTCCCCTTCATTGTCATAGATGAGGGAATCGTCAAGAGTCAGCCAGCCACTGGGATCCACTAGGTCCCTGCGGTGGCGCCTCAGAGGGGCTGTGAGAGACCGTTGGACCCGGGGCCCTGAGATGGTGTCAGGGCCAATGATGTAGATTACTTGGAGATACCACTGGTGTCCTGCTTCCACCTGCAGGAGGAAAGAGATGGGGAGACAAACCTGTCAATGTTGCCTGCAGAGCAGCTCAGAGGAAAGGAAATGGAAAGGCAATTGCACCATATGCCTCGACAGAGAAATAGTTTCAAGAAAAGTATTATCAGTGGTTGGTGTCTTCAAAGACACAGAGAATGGAACCAAGGAACACAGGTTCTACTTTATTCTAAATTAGGGCGATCTTGGGTCAACTGTTTACACTCTTCTGTTTCCTCATCTGTACATGGAAGGGCCCAAGAATTTATTTTTCATGGTTTCTTTAGCTAATTGCTTAGCTTATGACTTGTTGGTCTTTTTCAAAAATAAAAGCAACTGAGGCCAATAGGAAAAGGGGACCAGGAACTAGAGAAAAGGTGAAATCAAAAAGAATTAACCTAGAAGGTAACACACACGCACTGGAAATTAATGTGAGTAAACTCCCTGTATAGCTATCCTTATCTCAACCAGCAAAACCCTTTGTTCCTTCCTATTATGGCTTATATTCTCTCTACAACAAAATTAGAAATAAGGGCAAAATAGTTTCTGCTGGGTATTGAGGGGGTAGGGGGGAGAGGGAGGGGTGGAGTGGGTGGTAAGGGAGGGGGTGGGGGCAGGGGGGAGAAATGACCCAAGCCTTGTATGCACATATGAATAATAAAAAAAAAAAATTTGCTTATTGTTTGTGCCACGTCTCCCCTCCCAAACAAAGATTTGTTGGTCTTTATCAATAGCAGTGAAATAATAGTATCAATAACCACATTTATTATCTGTGATCTTCAATTGTTTGTTATGTAATTTACTACTTATTGATGAACTTCAACTAAAACAGAGTCGCTTTACAAATGTTCACTGAACAACTACCCTGTGCATAATATGCAGAGTCTTGACAAAAATTTGCTAAATCCGAACACTTTCTGGATCATCCCTTGAGAGGTGACATCATTAAATATTTTGTTTCCTTCTCATCTTCCCCCCATGAGAACCCTCCATGGTTTTGAAATAACTTCTGAAGAGAGATAGCAGTTTTGAAATCAAAGGTCATGGATTACTATTTGGGATGGAAAACAAAAAAACAAAGTTTGATTTTGGAAGTTCATGTTTGTGGCTGCAACTTAGGGTATTTTTGCTTATCTAGTACTAGGAATTCTTGCCCCTCTAAACTGCTGCAGTGGATTTAGGATTTTGTTCAGTGTTTTCCACCTGCTCATGAAAATCAGCTGGCTCAGAGAGCTAAAAAAAAAAAAAAAGGAGGCAATTTGAAGGAACTTAGGAAAAACTGAAGTACTGTACACAGCTTAATGTATGCAATGACAAGTGCATTACTGCTTCGATCTACTAGAGATGGATGGTGAAATTTTTTGGGTGAATTATAAGTTTAATAACAGCAATAACAACAAGAAGGCCTGCTAGCAAGAAGGCTATAAAAAGAAACTGACAGGTTGGAGATTTAGCTCAGTGGAAGAGCGCTTGCCTGGCAAGTGTAAGGCCCTGAGTTCGGTCCCCAGCACCGGAAAAAAAAAAAAAAAGAAACAGACAGTCCAAGGATGGCATTTTCTCCTTTCTGCCAGCTTTACAGCGGATCAGAGTCTAAGCTTCTGTCCTTCTCATCAAACTCACCTTATAGAGAGCATCTACTTTCAGAGTAAATCCATCCACACCTGGCATGCTACTGACCACATGGAAATCCGGCAACTCGGAAGCAAAGTGGGCCTCGAAAGGCACATCGTGGAAGTACTTATCAGTGACCTCTGGCTGGCTGCGGTCCTAGAATTTTAGAAAAAAGAAACACAAGAGTCAGAAAGACAGAACCACTGTATTGGTTGGTGCAGCTTCTGGGAAGAGAAAGGCAGTATCCTCTCCTGCTTTGGGCTGGGTCAGGACAGTGTGGAAGAGGGCTCCTCCTAGGTCAGTGCTGCCTCTGGACACTCACTGCCCTCTTTAAGGGAGGGCTCTGGTAGCTTCTGGATCTCAAAGCACAAAGGGTGGATGGCCTAAACCAGGACTCTCAAGCTATTTGGCATTAAGACCTCTCACATAGGTAAAACTTGAGGACTCAAAGATCTTTTGTTTATGTGATTTACAACTATCAGTATTTACTATGTTAAAAATTAAACCTGAAAAAATTTTAAAATTACATATTAATTCATTTTAAAAGCACAATGAAAAATTAATTACATGGTAAATTAAGGCTCTTTTTAGTGAAAAATATCTATATTCTTATCTTCTTCCCAAAGGAGAGCTGGTATTGTACATTTTTGCAAATATCCAGAAAAGGAAGGAACTGTCCTTTTCTGAATTCTTCTGATTCCATCAGTTGTGACACACTGTTTTAGCTGAAGTATTTGAGAAAATCTGGCCTCACATAGCTATGTAGTTGGAAAAGGGAGAAATCTGTTCATAGCTTTTTAAGTTAATTGTGGTTATTCTTTTTAAATACTAAATCTGAGCTTGGCAAGTAATTCTTTTCTCGGCTTCTACAAATTAAATTGAACTACTTTGAAACAACAAATTTTAGTAACAAATGTTTAGCAAGTACCCATTATAATTGCTAAACTGTGAAATCAGCATTACTTGTATCTGATCAGCTATACAAAAACTCATCAATTTTTCTTTTGGCAAAAGGTAGCAGAAATCCCAAAGAAAAGGGAACTACTAATTAAAGGTTGTGTTTGCTAACCTAGCACCATAATTCCAGTATTAGAACCTCCCAAGTAGCTGGAAGGAAGATACGGGAAGAGGTAAAGCTGCTGGAAGTATAAAGAGTAGTTCTTAACTTGCAGCCCTATTTTTGCCCTGAGGCAACACACAGGGTCTAGCAAAGAAGAAAATCTCTGAAACTGGAGATGAGAGAAAGGGCTTTGGGATCAGGTGGTGAAAACGGCTCCTCAGAAGTGGTAGAATTGGTGGATCCAGAATGCAGTGCTGGACTGGGCCTCAGGAACTATGGAGTTTCTTCTTGGCTTCCCAGCTTTTTAATCTCTTCATTTTTAGCCAGGTTTGGAATGTCATAGTTCTGAGCCACATTCATTCCAACCATGTTTCCAAAAGTAAATCCAAGCAGGAACTGGAGCATGGTGGTGGTAGGGAGGGCCAAGAGGGTGTGAAGTGTGCTACAGCAACTCCATGCGGCTGGGCCTGCTGCCCTGCCACCCTCACAAGGGCGGATATTCTCTTCAAGACTGTGGAATCTGAAATGGTGTCAATGTACTTTCCATACTTTCTTCACTGAGAGGGGGTGTGAAAGGCAAGGCACCATCACAGTACTAGGAAAGTAGTTTTGACCTTGTGGACTCCCTGAAAGAATGTGAGGGCCACTCAGAGTCTCTGGACTAGACTGTGAGAAAATCAATGATACTGTGTCTTGTTACTCACCATAGCCATAAAATTTTGTAATGCATACTAGCATTTAGCTGATCAGAGAGAGAAACAACAACATATATTTATAGAGGAAAAACATCAAGAATGGAGCTCTGTTTTAGGCAGAATTCACAGCCGAGGCAGTCTAGCCCAGTGTCTGTCTTCCACATGAACATGAACGGTGAGCATACCAGCAGCAGGAATCTGTGCTTCAGGTGTCTGTTTGGCTGAATGCATCCATACTGTGGCCCTTCGTTGTAGATTGTCCCCGTCGGATCAAAGAAAGGCACGTAGCCATCCTTGCCAGTACAGAGATAAACCTTTTCCAGCTGGAGTTTGTAAGCAGCATTCAGGTTTTGTTCTGGATTCCAAAGGACTCTGCCATAAAGGATTTGGCCTGAAAAGATTGAAAGGCATCAGTTAGACCATATTTTAAGATTAAAGAAAAAGAAATGTCAAAGGTAGACAGGATTTAACATGCTCCCTTAAGAGTAAAAAGTACCTTTCAATGAAGAGCTTGATGATTTAATGTGTTTCTAAATACTCATCCATCATTTATTTATTGTTTCTTTAATTCACTAAGCATTACATAAGCATTTAAGATCTGTCAAACACTTGGCTGAGTCCAGGGACACAGAAGTGTATGAGATTCAGAGGACAGAAATAGTAGTTAACAGCTATCACATTCACTATTTGTTAGGTACTATTCTAAGTTCTTCTCATGTAATAACTCATGTAGTGCTCATAATTTCACAGATGAGGAAACTGAAGCACTGAGTGGCTAGGTGACTTGACGTAAGTCAAAAAGCTAGCAAGTGGTAAAGATGGAATTCAAAGCCAAGGTTTTGACTCCACAGCCCACACTGTTAATCCCCACGCTACATCATTACACACCACAAAAGAGGAAGGTGCATGATGTTAAATGAATGCAAAGCCTTGCATGGAAATCTGCCTGGAGAGAGGGATGAGAGGGTTTAAGGAGAGGTGATATTTGAGCACTCTCTTGAAACACAGGTTGACATTGGGGGGTGGGAGGGAGAAGCAGAAGAGAGCACACTAGGTCAAAGAAATCTATGTACAAAATACTGAATGCTGGATGGATGTGAGTCCTGGTGTGGAACCTGTTGCCTTTGTGTCTGCTATGACCCAAAATTCTTTACATATACTATTTTATTTAATCTCCCAAGAGCTCAAGAGACAGGCTCAATTATTATCTCCATTTTAATTAATTTTCCAATGTTCCATAGCAATGATGGGATGCGAAGAGAATTTGAGCACAAATTCATCTGACTGCAAATGTTCATCCAAAACATTTTCTCTGTGGTGAAAATTGTGACTGGAGGGGAGGATGTTCAGAGCTGTGACAGGAGAGACTCCTGGGGAGAGGGACTAGTCCATGCTGAGGGTGCTGGACAGAATATATAAGAATTAAAAGGCACTGTGAGGCAAATTCAAGAAATGTGTAGAGGTCAGATTCCATTCATCTTGTGGAAAAGTTGAGGACAACTCTGAGGTGTTTGCCAGAGGTGCCTAGAATGACAGGTACTGTCCCTGGGGCGCAGATGTGGGAGGAACATGTATGGAAAGAGATAAATTCAGTCCTTCCATTCTGAGAGGTTCAGCAGTTCCTGATCCGCATGTGGGAATGTAGAAATGAAGTGAAGGAGCAATCGATAAGGTCAACTTCTATAGGATGGCTGGAGAGTAGCAGGAGTACAGTAGGAGAATAAAGGGATGGTCTATCTAATCCATGGGATGACCAGAGGCAGTGCTCAAAGACAAAAAGAGAAGGAGTTAAGCAGAGAACCTGGGGATACCAATGTGGAAGGGGCAAAGGACAAGACCCAGGGCAAGAGAGTGAGAAGTGATCTGAGAAGAAAGAGAGTGTCTGGTGAGGCTGATGCAGAGGAAACCAAACAGGGAAAAGGTGTCAAAACCCACGGATTTGGTATCATTGATAAGAGAGAAATAGAAGAGAGCCCCAACTGCAGCCAGGGAGATGTGGCTGGAGGAAAGATGGAAAGATGGTAAGGCAGCTAGACGTGGATGGAGGAAAGATGGAAAGATGGTAAGGCAGCTAGACGTGGATGGAGGAAAGATGGTAAGGCAGGTCCACAGAGACCATGAGTGCTTACCACTTATTTAGGAAGTTTGTCAGACAAAGGGAAAGGACAAACAGGGTTGACATTTGAGGGAAAGGTAAGATTTAAGGAAGGGTTATCTCTGTGATGCACAGGACATGAATTTAAAAAATTCATTTAAAAAAAATAACTGTGTGCAAGCATGTGTGTGGTTGTGGTAGTGGGGATCAAATTCAGAGCCAAGCACGCCAACCATGTGCTCCACCACTGAGCTACATCCCTGGCCCTGTAAGTGTGCTGTTGTTGGTTTGTATGTGTGTGTGTGTATTTTGTTTTTCTGTTTTTTGAGACAGAGTCTCATTGTATGGCCTTGAACTCGAAATCCTCCTGCTTCAGCTTTCCAAGTGCTGGGATTACAGGCCTGTGCCACCATAACTGACTTGAGTGTATTTTTAAGATGAAAGAAAAAACTCAGGTATGAGAATGAGAAAATTAGAGAGGCAGAGGGGATAACAGAGAAGAAAGGCAGACCATTTAGTAATTCATTATTCCTTCAACAACTGTTTGTTGAGCACCAAGGGATGGTGCCGTGGTATACAAATCTGACATTGGTCAGTCTCTAGTCTCATAGAATTTACAGTCTAGTGGTGGAGATAGACAATTTTGCAAGATGAACAGCATCTTGCAAAAGTGAAAAATATGGAGGCCTATGTTATATTTTCTGGTGTGGCCAGAGAAACTTCTCTGTGGAGGCAAGCATTTAAGCAGAGGCCTGAAGGACAAGAAGGAGCTAGTCTTTTGAAAAGTCAAATGAGCCACTTTTGGGGAGAAGGGGGCCAGGGCCCATTTCTAGCAGGAAAAGCAGGATGTAGAGTACACATGTTGGCACCCCTTCAAGGCTGCAAAGCAGTGGGGATAGCACTGCAACCTCCCTAAGGGACTGAGAGATAAGTAACTTACCTAAAGTTACACAGGTGCTAGAATCAGATTGGGAATGCCATCTCGTCACCACCCAGAACAGTGTTTTCCCATGTACCACACTACCAATCATTATAGTGCTATAACATGAAGGAAGATGAAGACTCTATTCTTTGATTTGACCTTGACTGACCTTGGCTGACCCAGGGAAATTTCACTGTGTAGCTGGCTGAGATCCTTATGAGGAGAGATGCTAGTCCTGTCCAGGGACTTACCCAAAAGGTTCTCATGTCCAGGCAGAGCCTCTTTCTGCAGGTGGAGTAGCAACTCACCTTTTGAAAAGGCTCCTTTGTAATCCATTTCTGCTAGTGACATGTCAGATGTGTTGGGATCCATGAGGAACACCTTCTCATTATTGCAGAGCTGAAACTCAGTATTGAGAGAATACACAACAGGCACAGGGCGGTGGGTCTGCTGGAATGCAATGGGTATCAGGAATCTAAATGTAGGAGAAATAAGAGCACCTTGAGACCATGGTCAACTGTGCATGTGTCATTTGAGCTGCCCTCAGTGAGCTCTTTGTGAGCACTGAATATTTACTGACTAGAGATGTATGTGGGAGAAGGACTTTCTTTGGTCTTTATGAGGTCAATCGCTCGTTTGAACAAGAATAACTTAGTCTTTGGAACCCTGTGGACCCTTTATGTTTTGCTCTTTTTTTCTGAGGGCCCCCAAAGTTGCTCTTTGACTGCTAAATGACTCCCTGCCATGGCGCCCCTGCTATACTCCTTCCCAGCCCTGCATGCATGAGACTTTGACTCTTTTCATTGCTGAATACTTATTCTATGTCATACCTGTTGAGACACTGCTGGGAGATATTCTCCTGTTCCACCCCTTACTTCCACCTCCCTGGCCTCCTTCCTCAGTTCCTTCTCTGCCTCCTTTTGGCAAATAAGGATTCCTGGATGCTCAGTCCTAGGACATCTACTGTTTTCTCTTGATAATTTTGCCAAGGTGATCTTAGCCTGGTCACTGAGTATATTTGCAACCTACTGGTAGCAATGCCACCTTTAACTCTATTATCTATATTTCTCTTCTGAGGTCCGGAAACTCTTATCTGGCTACTGAATGATCTATTGATAGTCCTACCTTCCTTTTTCAAAGACACTTCATATTCAACATATTCTTCCCTCACATACTGGATCTTCCTTCTATTCTCATCCCAGTGAAGGGCCACACATGAGGTGCCAGTCCCCTAGCTTACCTCACTGGAGTCACTCTTATTTCCCTCTATTCTACATAATGCAATCAATGAGCTGGTATGATTAAGGGAAAAAAAAAACAACCCAAATTTGCTTAAAATGTTTCAGTAGTTTCCTATAGCTTTTAGAGCGAAGACTGATGTTGAAAAAGCTCTGGCTCTTGCTTATGTCTCCAGCCTCATTTCTTGCCTCTTTCCCTCTTTGACTCCTTTCTAGGATCCTGCAAGTCTGGCCTTCTTTTAATCTCTTGACTGATTCTCTGTTCCAGGATCTCTATGACCCTAGGGCTTATTCATTCAACAAATAATCAATAAACATTTATTATGCAACAGACACTGTTTTAGTGATGGGAATTCATCTGTGGACAAAAATAGAAAAATATATGCCCCTAGGGAAGGTCTACTCTAATGAGGAGAGAGTCAGTAAGCAAAATAAGTTAAAAAAAATAACAGCATGCTTAGAAAGTAACAGGACAGGGAGAAAAATTAGGAGAGAAAGGGAATGCTAAGAGCAAGTTTAATCGGAAGTGCTAAGCAATGTAGTCATGAATATAAATTAGTATAGCCATTATGGAATACAGTATGGTGGTTCCTCAAAAAAATAAAAATATAAGTATCATAGAGCTAGCAATCTCCTATTGGGTATATTTCCAAAGGAGATGATATCAGCCCTCCTGGAGAGCTATATTCCTATGTTCATTAAAAAATTATTCACAATAACCAAGACATCAAATAACTGAAGTGTCCATCAACACTTGAATGGATGAAGGGATAAAGAAAATGTGATATACAGTATACATACAATAGAATACTCTTCAGCTCCCAAAAGGAGAACCTGGCAATTTGCTACCACATGGATGAACCTGGAGGATATTATTACGCTATATGAAATAACCCAGACACAGAAGGAAAAACACTGCATGATCTTACACGTAGAATCTAAATATGTCAAATATATAGAAATAAAGAGAACAGTGGTTACTGAGGGCAGAGAGGAAGGGGACACAGTGAGATATTGGCCAAAAGACACAAAGCTGCAGTTACAAAGGATGAGTATGTCTGGAGATACAACATAAAGCATAATGACTGTAGTTAACTATATTGTATTGTATACTGGAAATTTACTTAGATTTCAGGTGCTCTCATCATCAAAAAAGGTAACTAGGCGAGGAGACAGACGTGCATTTGCTTGACTATAGTAATAATTTCACTAGGTATCTGAATATCAAAATATCATATCATATTCCATCTCACATCTACTCCAGCAGACCACAAATAATATAGAGCCAATGAGTGTGGCTTATTCTAAACCCTGCAGAGAGCTGGAGTTGTCCTCTGGGCTGTAGTTTGCTGATCCCTGACTTAGAAAGTTGGAGCTCCCTTCACTGAGATGAGAAAACTTCAGAAGGAATATATTTGGTAGAGAAAGATGAGGAATTTAGCTTTGGACATGTTGAGTTTGAAAGCCCAGTGAGAACCAAGTAGAGATCTGAAGTCAATCTTGTGTGTAAGTGTGACTTGAGAGGTGAGCCCTGGGCTGAAGGTGCTCACTTGTACTCAAAACCTTGAGAATGGAGGATGAAGGAAATCACTAAGCAGTGGAAAGCAATAGAGAAGAGACTGTTCAAGCCTCATCTAGGGCATTCCAAATTCAAAGAAAAAGAAACAGCAAAGTTCAGTGGAAAAGCCAATGAGGTGGGAAAGAAACCTAGAGTGTGATGCCTCAGTGGAGTGTCAGGGTGGAAAGCCTGATCAACTGTCAAGAGCTGCTGAGCGGTCACAGAAAGGAAGGTCAAGGTTCCATCCCAGGACCTAGTACCATGCGGTTGTTGACCCTGACAAGAGCACACTGGGTTGAAAGGTATCAGCAGAAGCTTGACCGAAGTGGTTCAACATGATGGACAGAGGTAAACTGGAAGCTGTGAGTACAGAAAACTTACCACAGACATATGGAAGTAAAAAGGAGAAATAGGACCGTTCAGAGAGAAATGGACTATCAAGAAAGGTTTTCTGTTTGTTTTTGTTTTTTAATTTTCTTCCTGGAAATATGGAAAAAGTTACAACTTGGTTTTAGGCTGACTACAACAATTCATGGAAAGGATTACAAAGTGGACAAGAGGCTTCAGGTTCTAGCAGAACAGTGGAGCGGCTAGTTGTGGAGAGGAACTCAGAGCATCATCCATACTAGCAGGTGTGCAGATAGAATGGTGGATGCTTGTGTGAGTTCTCTTCTGCTTTTGTTTTTTTCTGTTTCTTTACTGTAACAGGGCAGTAATCAGTTGAGGATGAGGAAAGATGTTTCAGAGAAGGAATAAAATAGTTCAGAAGAATGAGAGTGGATGGATTAGGGAACACTGTATTTTGCTTGGAAGCCTAGGAGTTGATTTGACATTAGTAATTAAAGAATTTAGTTTTCTAATGGAAAAAAGGAACTCATATACTGTTACTGGGAATGTAAATTAGTTCAGCCACTGAGGGAGGCAGTATAGAGGTTCCTCAAGAAACTAAAAATAGTACTGCCATGTGATTCTGCTATGCCATGCCTGAGCATGCACCCAAAGGAGTGTAAGTGAGCATACATTAGCGATACCTGTGTGCCCATGTTCACAGCAGCCCTGTTCACAATAGACAAACTATGGGATCAGCCCAGGTGCCCAACAGCTAATGAATAGATAAAGAAAATGTGGCACATGTACACAATAGAGTATTAGTCAGCCATAAAGAAAAATGGAATTACTGTTTTTTGTTTGCAGGAAAGTGAATGGATCTGGAGATCATTTTAAGTGAAATAAGGCAAACTCAGACAAATATCACATGACATGAGTGTAAAATGGGAAGAACTGCTTGGGGAAGGGAACCAGTGGGAGGGAGAGGGTGAAAGGAAAGAGTGATGGGAAGGGCAATTATGATCAAAGTATGAAAGTAGAATAATGAAACCCATTAAAATTGTTTTTAAAAGGGTGGATGGGAGACAAGAAAGAGCAAGAGGGGGTAAATTTGATCAAAGCACATTATATGCACATATGGAAATATCACAATGAAATCCCTTTGTTCAATCAATATATGATAATAAAAAAATAATAAAAAAAGAATTTTGTTTTCTGGCTTTATCCTTACTGGATATTCTGCCAGAACCCTCTGTTCTTCTTTGTCTGTCCTAATTCAGCTAGATAACTATTACTTATCCTTTACCTGTCAACTCAAATTCCACTTTCTCTAGAAAGCTTTTCCTCCTTCTCTTAGCTGTCTGGCTAGCTTAGATCTCATCTTGTCTATTCTCCTCATACCTTCTACTTGTCAATCACAGTGTCTCTTGTGGTTTGAAATTTTTCTTAGGTGTGTGACTGACTGTCTCAAGTTTGCTTCATCTATGCAGATTCCATGGTCCATATCTGTTTGCTCGTCTTTGTGTGCCCAGTGCTAGCCTAGTTCCTGACATTTACACTTGTCAGGGAATAATGAATGGGCGATCATTTCAATGCTTTACTCTTCCAACAGAGCCTGCCTAGCCTTTCCTAACCTCTACTGAAGGCGCCCATGTGGGTAGATTTGGGAGGAGGAACTTGGGGACCACATAAACCCGAGCTGACCTGGCTTTTATAGCTTTGATATTACCATTAGTTCCACCAAGAGTTCATTTTTCTGGCTCATGGAAAAAGATTTTTCTGGTTAATGCTTAAATTACTAGAATCCACCACAGAACTTGCATATAAGACAATTAATGTTGATTAAATGGAATAAATAATGGACTTGAGATTATTAATAATAATTGCATAATGTATGACAGACCTCACCAAAATAGTCATGAAGCACAATTCTTTTCAATTAAGTCTGAATTCCTTGTGCCAGTCTTAATTTTTTAATGTGTTGCAGTTCTATTGTACACCATGTAAGGGGCTGAAGGCAAGGTTATACTTAGGAGGAAGTCACCCTAGGAATAATGGGGAATCTGTAAGTAACGACCTCCCTGACACAGACAAAGCCACCAGTCTGCTGAACAACACGCTCCCACCTACAGCCTCCGCACCACACAGCACTGGGTGGGCCTTCAGATAGGGTGGTAACTTCCTTGCTCCTTTTTGCTGTTTTCAAACTCTTGCTCCTCTCTCCTCTTATAAGAACCCATTACCTACACTGGAGAAACTGTGGCCAAGAAACGCATATGTACATATAATATGTAATATACACGTACATCTACACATAATACCTACATATATCTACAGACATATCTATCATTTTTCATCTCTCTCTCACTCTTCTCTCTCTGTGTGTGTGTGTGTTCTTTGTCACAGACTCTGGAATAATAAACCAAACAGCCTGGCCAAAGAAATTGTAGAATATTCCTACATAAAGGAATCAACAATGATCCACTGAGCTTTAAAAAAAGAAAAGGAGCAGTGAGAATTCATACAGTATGAAACTCTTATACAGAATTGGAAAACCATAGAAGTAAACGTGAAGTATAGTCATAAACCAAAACTGGGGATTATAGATACAAATATTAGCATAGTTGTCACCTTAGTGGGGAGAAGGAAGGAATGTGACTGGATAAAGACACTGAGGGTATCTAAAAAAGTATTGGTGATATTCTTTTTTTTGAGGTGTCAGGTAAATAAAAATGTTTATTTTATGTATCCACTATCTATGAGTATCTGCAATGTTTCATAATTTAAAAATTTAATAAAAGGGTAAATATTCTTCAGCATATCCCATCAGATTACTTTCAGTTCACTGATTTTTATCTAACAGTATAATCTCAGTGCTTAATCCAGAGAAAAGTACCGACACTGGCTGAATGAATTGTTTGAGTGAATGAATATATGGGCCAAGATGTGGCAGACAGTCCAGGTCTGTGGTGGGTATGAGCTGCTGTACAATTGAATCTTCTTATTCATAGTATCTAAGCTCGGTAAGGGGCCCATAAACACTGAATTAGTGGATATTGAACCACTTCCCCTAGAAGAATATAGAACTAGGTTTCTGTGAGCTTCCAGTCACATTTCTTCAACTGATCAATACTAAGTCTTGTTTTATGTGGTTCCTGTTTAGAGACCCCTTATCTAATTTATATTGTTGATGAATTAACACTGAACTATACATAACAGCAAATGAAGTTTATCTAATATTCTGATAAATAATTAGATAATTATTTATAAATGCATTATAAATGAAATTTATCTAATATTCTGTAAGTCTCCCTATGCTTCTGACTATTAGAAAGCACTTCAGCACTGTGCTTGGAAGCCATTTAAAATAGTAAAGTCACCAAGGAAATGAACGAAAGTGCAAAAAAACCCAAGGCACTAAAGAGACCGTAAAAGGATATTTGTTTGTAGAACGAGAGCTGAAACAAGAAGGCAGAGTGTGGCTCATTCAACCTCAGCTGGGGATGTGGGTGTTGGGTGACTTACATTTTTGCCATTTTGTGCATGTACATGTATGCTTATACACATCAGTACCACCATGGGTACTGATTTGTAGGTTACAAATAAATACAAGTGAGTTGCAGAATCCACAGAAAAGGAAGCCGCAAATAACAAGGAGTGGTTGCGTTTGCCTACCTTTCTGGGGCATGTGCAGTGCAGGCCAAAGGCTTCTCTCCTGGGTCAACCCATGGCTGTGTGGGCTGCACCGTGCAAGGGATCAGGTAGATGGTGTATTCCCCTGAGTAGTCCTTCCTGAACAAAGCAGAAGAGACTGTGGTCATGGGGAACACCTAATAATTACTTACCGCCAGAAAGACACGTTAGGACACAGGGCTTAGAGGAGATCACACCCAGCAGTCAAGAGCTGCAAACACCACTTCCAGGAATTCATCTCTGATCATTCTAACCTTCAGAGCACTGACTGGAGATGTTAAGTAGACCTACTTTTATTTATTCCAGTCACTTTTTGTGAGGAAAGCCAAGAAAGGCACTCTGTGTATAAAAACCTAAAAGGCGCAGGAGACGACAAGCAGAGTCGGTGATTCCCTTTAGATTTTGTGACATTTGTTTAATGATTCTTTTAGTGTTTCTTGTCAATGGACACTCTGTTCAACGCCTTCTTAAATTATATTTATGAAGATGTGACTGCATCAGGTGCTGCTCATATGGAAGAGGTGGCCAATACCTTAGGGTCACAGAACATCATTCTAGATCATAACAGAAGCGGTGTCCTGTGGAATACTCCCACTCTGTTTCACAAGTGCTTGGTTGCGAGGTTCCCCTTCCAAACTCTACAGCCTCATCCCTTTATGAAGTTGAAGAACACTAAGACTTTTCATTGAGGCTATTCACTGGTAATTTCCCTGCTAATATCAAGACACAGGATTCTTAAGGTTGTGACACTGAAGGCAGGGTACCTTGTACCTCTCACCTACTTCATTTCCCATATTTGTCTTTGGATAGCAGCCCCAGTCATAGAAGGTTCAAAGGAAAGCAGCCAAACATCCAGAAACCTCAGGAAGATTCTTCAAGGGCCTGGGGAAGCTGCCATCCATTGAATTCTGAATACAGCATTCTTCCCCATATATCTGCCTAGTGGACTCCTTTACTTCTTTTGAGTCTTTGCCCAAATGTACCTTCTTCATGAGGTTCTCTGGGAATATTCTGACTAAAATTATAATGTCTCTCCATTATGCATTCCCCTTTATCTTTCTTTATGCCTTTTACCTATTTTTCCTCCATTCCTCAGTACTACTTAAATTCAATTCCTCACTTGCCCTGCAAATATGCCAAGCATAGCCTCGATGCAGGAACTTCATCCCGTAGTTCTTCTCACCTCTTCTAAAAACTGAACATCTCCCACTTCACAACATGAAGCACAAGTTGCCCCACCTCCCTCAGAAAGCCTTGCACAATTCCCAGCTTCTACTAGGTTCTTGTTCCTTGAACAACTATGGTCTTCATGTTCTATACTTTTACAGCGCACTCGGCACAAAATTCTTGGTGGGTTCTTTTTTGCTGTTCATCTATGTATTTTGTTTCCTTACCTCACAGATAAGTTGCTAAAGACAAGTTTTTGATTTCTTTGGATGGCTAAAACCTGCAGTGAGGTTTAAGATGAATGCATCAGCCTTCAGCCCTAAAAAAGCTCACAACCTAGTGAAAAAATGGGACTGGCAAATGGACCATCATAAGATACCGAGCTGTGTTATAGTGGAAACAGGAAGAAAGTGGGACCAGGAGGAGGGAGCTACTAGCTGTTCCCCAGGAAGTCAGGGAAGCAGTCCCTCAGGGTAAATATTTGACTTGGGTCTCACGGGTACTAGAATTTTGCAGAAGAAAATAGGATGGAGGACAGAGAGACTGGCAAAGGCCTGCAGGTATGGATGTGCTGGTGGGTTCAGGGACTGGCATGATACTGAATGTGGTTAGAAAGCTGGGTTTGAGATGAGGTTAAGCAGAGGACTGGACCTTGTATGCTACACAATGGTGTGGACTTCATCTGGTAGACAATAGGAAGTTATCAAAGGATTTAAGGGACAGAGGACAGTTTCTCTGTCTATAAATTGAGATAAAGTACATGAACAACCTCATGAGGTTATAGGAAACACAGTCCCTGTGTAATTAAGAAAATTAAGGCAATATTTTTGAAAATGATTCCTTTCTCCCTCCCTCCCCTTCCTTCCTTGTTGCGTTGGGGATAGAAGCCAGGGCCTTGCACATTCTAGGCAAGCATTCTACCACTGAGCTGCATCCCCAGCTTAAAAAGGGATTCTTAAGACAACCCATCACTTCTTAACTTTACAACTGTAACAAGATTTTCATGCTGAATACAGCTCTTCATTTAATCACCTATAAAATAAGGATAATAATATTTATGACAGACTCTTGCTTGCCCCCTTATAATTTTCACGGTACTTTTAATTCTGCTTTGTCTATTCTTCCCTTTAATACGAGATGTTTTACTGTATTTATCCACTTCCCAATCTACCTGAATACAGTGTGTGTGGGAGGAATAAATCTTGTCATTTACTTATTCATCATTGGACTATACCACAGGTGGCACCTGAACTAGTAACCAGCAGTCCAGATTTTGCACTGGTTGTGGTAATTGCAATGATGTTTCTTTATTATACTAAAGTCTCAGCTGCACACATTTCCCAGCTTCCCTTGTGAGTGGGGTGCCATGTGACTAAGTTCTAGCCAATGGGTTGTGAGTGGAGGTGATGTGTGTGCTTTCTGGTCTTTCCCTTGGAATGAGTGTGATTACTTCCTGTTTATGCATCAGAAGTTGATTTGGGATACATTGGTTTCTTTCTCTATTTGCTAGCGGGCTGCTGCTGTTATCTATGCTCCTTTTAAATGGAAAATCAGCCTTCATAGAAAAGTTCTATGTCCCAAGCTCCTGAAAAAAATTGAAAACCATTCATATCAACTCCTGAAAGTTTATTTACCTATTATAAGAACTTGTGGCTCTCCAGAGTTGATATGGAGAATCAAAAGTCTGAGCACTCCACAAGAGCTGCAGGTCAAATTCAATTCCTCCTAGGTGGTCTGGAGTCAATATGAAAGATTTTACATCTGGGAGTGTGTGATGCTCCATCACAAACTGTCCTGTTTCAAGGGGAAACATTTATTTGTAAGTTTGTTGTATTTGTGGCAAAACATTTTCAAAAGCCTAAAAACCAAATTAACAACTAAGGCTATATCCTTTCACCCTTAGAATGTATTCTGCATGGGCTGAGATGGCATCTCACCCTAGCTCATCACTCTGCTCCAGGTCCATTTGGTCATATGATATATGTATAAACAACACGAGTATGCCTTGTGACAATGGCACTGAGCTTCTGCACACTAATTGGGGTCTTTAAGTAACAATGATCATTCAATATTTAGCTTTGAATTCTAACCAATACATTTCTTAGTCTTAGTAGGTTATAAGTAGAAATATTAATGTTAGATAAAAATCACATTTAGGTTCATCCAAATCCTTGGTGGAAAGGGACAATTGTAAACATACTGAAAGGTAAAGGTTACTGGCAAGAAACCTCAGTTCTTTAACACTTCACTGACAGTGTCATGAATAAATAAAAGCAAGTGTACTATTCTGGATGAAAAGAAATTAAAGAGAGAAAACAACAAAAATGTACCATGAATCTTGAATGAATTCATCTTCCTTTAATATAAATAAATATAAAAACAAGTGGAAAAGACATTTTTGTAATGTAAACAGACTAAATATTATTCAATTGATGTTAACTATGTTGATTTGAAAATGATACTGCGTATAAAAATGGGCTTGTTCTTAAGATATGTCTACTGAAATATTTAGGATAGCTTAACATGAAAATGGCAATTTATTTTTAAATGAGGTGACAGAGTTTGTGTATATGTATGTGTGTATGTGTGTTCATACTGCATAGCACAAAGTTAACACCTGCTGAGTTTGGTTTTCATTATTTTATTCTTTCATATTTTCTGTATGTTTAAAATGTTTCTTAATAAAAAGTTGGGGGAAACCCCATACTGATCTTACCTCTGAATTTGGCATGGGTCTTGAACTCAATGACAAGACGGCCATCCTCTCGAATATAGATTCTTATTATCTGAAGCCTTGCAGAGAGCACACTGTCTGTCTGAATTCCTGGACAGGCAAGCACACACAAAACATCCAAGTTAGGGCATGGAGAAGACCTCCCCGACAGTAACCCAGGGACATCACTAAGTACAGCTGGGCCTTTATTTGAATGTGACTTAAAAGTAAGTTTACACATCCACACGAGCACAGACCCTCTAGAGACATTTGCCAGGTAAAGTAGTATGATAGTTCATTTACTATGTTCTTAAAAAAAACAAAGAAATAGGTGCACTGCCCCTGACATAGACTCCATACACTTAAGTACCACTTGGTTTAAATGTAGGCTCAGTTCGTAGCTCAGAAAATAATGGATCTAAAACTTTTTAGTATCAAACTTTACATCAAGATGTGGTTACAGTACATCTGCTCACACTATATTTTCTTTTCCTTTCAGGATTTATTACAGTAGTAAGCTCTGATGGCCACATTTACTACTCAAACCAATGGAGAATTAAAGGGAAACTGGTAGACGGTCAGCTTTATAGGCATGACATGAGTAAGTAAGCTATGACTTTAATGAAAGCAATTGCAGTCATGGCACCCAATGAGGTCAGAATGACTAAAAATAAAGCATAACTAAAGGAAGAAAAAATAAATTTAAAACAAAAATCAAAGTTCAAGGAATTATCTGTCCCAGGAGGGAAAACTCAAAGTTGAGTACTTTTTCCCATGAGAAATATAAAGCAAATAAATAATTTGAGCTTAAGCCATTTAACAAAAGGATGTATTTTTAATTACTAGAGGTGAAGCCCTCTCGAAAGAAAGTTCCTCTTTAGTCTTTCTCCCTCAGATAAGGTATGTCACCCCTAGGGAGGGAGAGGAGGAAAAAGAGAAAGGGAAGTCATGGGAAGGGAGTTTGGGAACAGGAAATGAAAAAAGAAGAGAGGACAACAAAACCAAGCAAGCCTCACTGGGGTAGACTGAAGAGAGAACTTAGGAGTTTCAGGGGACATTTCCATGGCAGCAGTGGGAGAAGGCAGGGAGGGGAGTTTCTGAGCAGGAATGAGGTGTGCACTCCAGGTAGAAGGGGTGCCTCAGATCCAGCCTTGGGGGCTCCTCTCAGGGAGGGCAGTCACAGGGACAAGGCTGAGGGGATGATCATTAAAAAAATTCAGCAGTGTTAAAAAAGCTCTACTTTTGAGAATTAACAAAACAGTCAACTATGCCAAATGAATGAAGTGGACCACTTGACATAACCATCAAGTCACATGTTTTTGATGTAATTTTCCATTTCTATGCATCTGATTTGAAGATCCTTTGGCTTCTTAAGCAAGACAAGTCATGCCACTTTTAACCACAAGAAGCTACAATTGATTACACTCCAAAAGAGCACATACTCCCTGAATCCCTCACAGGTTACCTAGGACCCAACTGTCACTTGCCATCCTCTATTCTAGGCCTCTGGCTCTCAGCCTTCCAGCCTGAGCAGATGTGGACATGCTCTTTTTTCAGGAACCACACAGGTCTGCACGATTTCCAGACTCAAGGAGGCCCTCCTTTGATTTTCTATAGGACAACTAATGCAACTGCTGTTAAAAGTCACTGCTTATTTAATCTTGACTGAGTGTGAGGAAGGAACAGGATGGTTAAGATGGTGTGGGCATACCTGTTCTCCAGAGAACCGTGTCATAGAAGAAGGAGAACTCCATCTCAGTGTGATGCTCCAAGGAGGCCCAGCCCCTGGGGGCTGTCACATAGATGTAGGACACATACAGAGGCACATGCACCGTCAAGAATGACTGGGCAGAATCCCTCACCTGCAAGGAAAGAGGTTTATATCTTCCTTGGGATGAAAGGGATATGTCATCACCTCTTGGTCCATTTTCTATTCACTCAGTCACTCTCTCATTCAATAATTATTAATCAAGTGCCCATACCTGCACTTTTTAAAAAAATAGACTAAGCAGGTGGAAAATAACCAGGATGCTTCTTTAGACAGGCTTGTCTGAGGAGGAGACACCTTGAACAGAAACACTTCTGAAGAGTGAGAATTAATTTTCCCTCCACTCTTCAGTTGTTAGAAGCCTTAGCTGAAAATGAAATCACCGTTATTCCCAAGGGATCAGTCTGGGGGCCTCTCAGATCCCATTCCATGCATACTCCCTCCATGGACAGTTTGCCAGTGACTGTAGAAGTGGCTGGTCAACTATAATGGGGAAGATGCCCAAGTCTTGGCCCCCTGGAATGAATAACATCTGACTCCAGCTGCTTTGGGAAGCACTCAGACATCCTGCTCAGGAATAAAGGCCAAGGGCTCTGGAAGCACATCTAGGAAGCTCACCACCAGACAGCCTGGAGCTACATACAATGCTCCAGCAATTTCCTGGCTGTACAATGCCTTGGAAAACATTCTGAAAAGGCAGCATGTCACACTTCCAAGAGAATACTTCTTTCTAAGAGAGTTCCTGTTACTGCTATTAAATTGACTCAATAATATTTGTTTTACTTGGTTATATATTTGTTTTATTTGGTCATTGTTTTTGCAATGACCAAAAACTGGATGGAAAGATAACTAAATACTAACAAAGGCTATCACGGTGAAGCTGTGTTTATATGTGTGAGTGGGAGAGCTGGTTTATTCATTTTAAAAATGTTTTAAATGTCCTTCCAAAAATATGTGTCTTTTGTAACAAAAAAAGCTATTAGTTAATATGAAATAATTTTATTTTGTTATTGGCCAAATACTACGACATATTAAAGGAAGTTATATTTTCCTTAAATCAAAAAAGGGTTGGAGGTGACATACCTTATTCTGTTTCCTTTCAAAATTTTCCCTTTTTTGGGGCACTCATGATCCTTCTAACTATGCTTCCTACGTAGCTGGGATTAGGGGCGCATGCCGCCACTCCTGGATCCAAATTTCCAGATCTGTATCTGGACCTCACCCCATGTCTGCCCCTTAATACACAGGTTTTGCTAAATACAGGTGCCCCAATCTCACAGTTGTTGACATTAAAACTTTTGTCACCCTCTAGTTGTTTGGCAAAATTAATTTTCCCTTCCTTGTTTCTCCTTCAGCCCTCAAGAAGGTATTTACCCATCTTGAAAGGAAAAATGTCCTGCCACATGTTTTCTGTGTACCAGTTTTATGCCAGACACCGTGCTGGGCACCTTACCATGCTGAGATTAGCCACAGTTTCACACAGGGCTCAAAGAGATTACAACTCATCCATGTCAGCTGGTATTTGGTGGAAAAGGATATGAACTAGAATGTAGTTCTAGGTCTGACATTCTTTCTATGACAGATTAGCAGCCTCAATTATTGCTGGGGAAATGGACAACAATGAAACACATATATTTTTCTGTATTGGTTTAAAAAGTAGATTCATAAAAAGAAAACCTTGCTTTTGGTCTTTGGAATTTTTAAGGCATATTGTGAACACAGATATCCAAACAGTGGAGAACAGAGACTGTTTTTTCGGTCCCGGGGTTTGAACTCAGGGCCTCACGCTTGCTAGGTAGACAGTCCATCACTTGAGCCATGGACCCTGCCTGAGACAACTAAACTTTGAGATGGGGGAGGGAAGAACTATCACTTAATATTACATCTGCAGGGGCTGTACACTATGTAACTGCAGAAACATACCCGAGCCCTAAGATGGCCTTGCAGTTCAATTCAGCAGAGGGCAGTAGTGCCCATGAAATAAGACAGTGGACCAGCGGCATCCCAAGAAAACAACAGACCAACCAAAACCAAAGTCCTGCTACAAATCCCTCCTTTGCGAGGTTCAACTTGATTTGAAATGAAAAACAAACATCTAAAAAAAATTTTGGCTTATTGAGCTAGGGACTCAAAAATGGGATGGAACTTGTTTTAGAATTCATATCCCTTGAGGAGGGAGGAGCCTAGACTCACCAACCCTTTGATATAATTGCCCTTCTATGACTGGCTTCTTCCTATAAAACGTTCCATTGTCACTGTTATTTAATGGTTTTATATATACAATACACACTATATATACAGTTACATTACAGTATCTATCATAATGTATAACATATACGCATATGTATAATAATACATTACCAAGTAAGGAAGAGAATACCTCTGTGCAATAATAACCCTACCATCATCTGTAAATCTTTCTGGCACTCCAAAATATACACAGAGGGAAAACCATATATATCCAAAGAAGTAAACATTAGATTTTTATATAAATGACTTCCAGATGGTAATTTTTTCCAATTAACTTGACTTAGAGGAAGGAGGGGTGGGTGCTCTCTAGCCACAATGTTGCAAAGATCTTGCTTCAGGAACATCTAAAAGACTTGGTCGTTGGCCCAGTTCTGGATGCAAAGTGCTGCCTGAGGTTCTTCAGGAGCACACAGGGTTGGGCATGGGACCACATACACATAGCCCTTGATGGACTCAGATGTGCCCCCAGGTCCCCACCTGAAAGTCCGCGGTTACAGAGCCCCCGCAGACATCGATCAGCTCTGTCATGTCGTAGTAGGCATCAAAGGTCCACACGCAGCTTTTCAGGTTCAGGTGTTTGTAGAGCTGGATGGTTTTTGGCTCTCGCACACTGGGGTCAAACTGGAATGGGCGGTCATAGCCAGGACCCAGAGCAGTGCTGTCATAGACTACATCATCCAGAAACCCTGCCTCTGCAGGGTGGGAAGGAACAAGGAGTGGTTACTTGGAGTTCTCATGCCTGGAAGCTGGGAGGAAGAAGAAACCCACACTTGACATCGAGAGAGCTCGCTATAGATCTGAGACTATTGACAGAGCAACCAGGGTTTCCCACTGCAGGAAGGTGAGGGGAGCTTGGGAAGAGCAGGGCTGCCTTTGCCAGTTGTTGGATGGAGGGCACCACTTCTGAGAGATGGCAGATGCCAGGAAAGAAAAGGTGAACAAATGACACAGGAAGGCAGAACTCACAAAACTCACAGCAGTTCTGCCTGAACACCTGGCAAGTGTGGCTTATGTGCTTCACACTCAGTCTTGAAGAAATGGATTTGCTATACATATCACTCAGTGATTAATTATTATGTTTAAGACCACTTTCAAAAGTAGTTTTATGGCCAAACTATGTGGTCCGGCAGTACCACTCCTGGGCATATATCTGAAAGAATGTAAGTCAGGATACAATAAAGACACTTGGACACCCATGTTTACTGAAGCACTATTCACCATAGCCAAGATATGGAAACAGTCCAGATGCCCTACAACTGATCAGTGGATTAAGAAAATGTGTAATATAAACACAATGAATACTATTTAGTCATAAAGAAGAATGAAATTACTTCATTCCCAGGTAAATGGACGGAGCTGGAGATCATCATGTTAAGCAAAGTAAGCCAGGCTCAGAAGGGCAAAGGTCACGCTTTTCTCATATGTGGAATATGGACACAAAAGATAAATGTGTGCACAAATAAAAACTTGATCAGTTCACATATATATATGACATGTTTTCAATAGTGAGACTGTTTGAGGGGACTAAGGGAGGGAGAGAGAGGAAAAGAGAATGACTCAGAGTGAATAATACTGAAACACGTTGCATCTGTGTAGAAAGAAGGCCTAAGAAAAGCACTGAAAGCTGCTGAATAGTAGGGGTGGGGAGAAAGGGTAAGGGAGAGTATAGAGGGGTTAGAATGATTAAACTATAATATATTTACAGGTGAAAGGCCATGGTGAAACCCCTTTGAACAATGAATATGACAGTGAAGGACAGGAATGTAAACCAGGTTCTGTTGGGAGGAGGAAGATGAATGGAGAGGTTGAAGGAGGGTGAATATGTGGATGTACTTTATATATTTGTGTGAAGATGGAACACTGAAACCTGTCAAAAGTCACTTAGGTGGGGGGAGGGGAATGAGGGAGAACGATTGGTTAGCATATATGGAAATGTCACAATGAAATCCCCCTTTACAACTAACATATGCTAATAAAATGGTTTTTAACAAGTGGTTTATGGAAAGCCAACAAATCAACATCTGATCCTCTCCTCTCCTTCTCTACTATGTTTTTTGAACTCTTAGGGAAAAAAGTCTTAATGAGCAAACAGCTCGCTAATGGTGTTTTACTGAACCTCACTGGCTACAGCAAAATTATCGGATCAATGCTGCCAAGCAAGTGAACTCTTCTAAATTAAGGAAGACCTCCATGCAGCTGACTATGAATACAGATACAATTTTATGATATTTTGGATACAATTTTTATGGTACTAAAAGCAGCAGTAGTATCTAAAAAGAGTTAAAGTCGTGTCAGGTATGGTGGCACAGGATGGTTAATCCCTGCACTTTGGAGGCTAAGGGAGGAGAATCTTGAGTTTGAGGCCAACTTGGGTCACACAGTGACACTATCTCAACCCTTCTCCCTGACAACATAAAAATTTTTTTAAAAGGAAAGAAAAAAGTCAATGCATTTTCTTAGAAATGCCTGACAGCAGCAACTAGCTCTTTGTCTTATAATGACTAGATAGTCATTGACCTGTGGTGAACTAATTGTTTCCAATAGGCACAGATGCAAAGTTTCAGCCTTCAAACATGTTTCTTGTACCAGCTGCATATGTGGATCAATTAAACTTTCACATGTAGCTCAATGACCTAAGAATAATTTGCATTCACTATCAAAAAATGATATTTAATGAGTATGAAAGAGCATATGACTGTATTTCCATCTTCAAAAACACTGTTAAATGATTCATCACTTGTGAAGGGAGGATATTTGCACTTCACAAGCACATGCTAAAGTAAATGGAAACGGACAGGATTCTTTGTAAAGCAAAATGTCTGTGGCGGTGAACATGGAGATGCACTGCCTTAGTTGTCAGCTTCTCCAGGTCTGTGTTGGCTGCAGAGCAGCTCAGCCCCAAGTCATGCCTTTTTTGGGGAGGCCTGCATCCAGTGATGGAGAGAGGTGGGCGATAGGTCTGGCATTGTGATGGAAGTAGGACAAATCTGTCCGGAGTTTCTTTTGTTAGCCTGCAGTGCAGTTTGACTTCTCCCTCTGCCCAGTCCTGCTTCCTCCCTTTCCTTGAATAGGGTTGACCCCTAAAATCATCTTGGACCCCAAACTCCATCTCAGTTTTTGACTCCAGAAAATTCATCCTTAAACATTTAATATCTGCACTTTAGCTTTCTAAAGATATTGCTGTATAGGATTTTAGAACACAGATTCAAAAATGTGCTCTATAGTGGAGGGGAAGGAACTAAAATTCACCATACTAGGTGTTTAAAACATAATCAACACATTGAATCCTCCCCTTGCTTGGTAGCAAAGGTTATCTTCATGTTATAGATAAGAAAAAAGCGTTTCAGAGAGGTCAAGCAATTTTTGTTTAGTTGTATAGGTGGTAGAATAAGGATATGAATCTGAGTCAGTTTGATTTCAAAGTCTTTGATTTTTCCTATTCACTTCATTGTCTGAGCTCTCTATGTTTGATGCTTGCAAAGAAGATAACATTGAAGATTTGGAAGGCTGGAAAACATGAAAAGCAGAGCACTCCCCCCACTTAATCATATCCCCAAAGTGACTGCCAAGTGGCTGGCATTGAAAATGAGTACCAAATTCATCCCTCACCTGAGATGCCTCTCAGGTCATGGGTGGTGACTAGGTTGGAGCAGATGTGCTGGTGTCTGTAGATGGACTCGGACAATAGGAAATGCAAATTGTGCAATGGCATGGTGGAGATAAGAGGCAGCATTCCATCCTGGTGTGGGATCTGCACCGAAATGTGGATTCTAGGGGAGAGAGGCAGAAGCAAGTGTTTAGCTGTTAGCAAGTGCAAACAGTCAACACGGGGCAATTCTTGCTCATCACGACTTCATCTTCACCAGTGCATTTAGCAATATTTTTTCCCCTGAAGTTTTCCATGTAGGATTTTTATCTGAACATGAGGGTGTAGATGTACACACAGGATAGTTTTTCTTCCTAAGAGATCCTTCAGACTCAAGATTGATAGTAATCAGGAATAATGGATTTTTTTTTCTTATACAAGAAAAGATAACATCACAACCACAAATTACTTTAAAGCTTTCTTTTGCTTTAAATGGAAGCTTTGCTAAGGCTGAGTGACTAGTGTAGGCCCTTCTTCCTGCTCTGTCTCAATGCATGTCTGTGCAAGCTTTGGGGTGTGTGTGTGGGGGGAGTTTACATGATCATGTATTTTTTTAAAAGTATTTGTTTGAGTCAAAAAGATATCATTGGATTCTTAAACTTCAAGGACAATATCCCACCCAGCCAAATGTCTTAGAAATGACATTATCCCATTCCTCACACTGTCTCTCTCCATCTAAAAATAGCCATCTCCCTCCTTTCTCCCTTTGAGTTGCATCAACACCTTGCATCCGGCCCTCCTCTGCCTCAATCTCCAGCATACTCTCCCTTGATCTATATTACCTTGGCGCCTGGAAGGCCTTTGTACCAGGATCTCTGTAGCTTATTTATATTGGCTGCTATTTCTTGTATGTTGTAAGGCTCTGCTTATCTTGCTTCCCCACTATGAGGACAAGGATCATTTCCTTCATTTCTTTTGTTTCTGCAGTACACATAGTATACAATTCTTAATAAAATATGAACTTAATAAATATTGGTTAAGACTGCAGCGCAATAGTACTGTACTTATGGGCTGCATTTGTTTTCATTGTACAAGTTTAAAATTTCAGTACGTTTATTAAGGGTGTGTTTTGAGTTTATAGAGCTTGTCTCTATAAAGAAAGAGCAAAATTTTTAGTATTAATCCAAACTTGGGATGTAAGGAGAATGACCCTTTTCCTAGAAGGGGGTCAGTAGTGCCCTGGTACTTCAGTTATTGCTTTTTAATGAAAATAAATTGCATTCTGTTTGGAAAGAAGGATTTGTTATTCCTGGGCCTACATTCAAACCTGGTTTTATTTATTTATTTATTTATTTATTTATTTATTGGTAGTGCTTGGGATCGAATTCAGGACTTTGCACATCTAGGCAAATTCTCTACCTCTGAGCTACATTCCCAACTGTCTGTCCTGTTTTTGTTCTCCATGCAAAGAAACCCATTTCTCTGAATTCAGTGGTTCCAACACTTAAATTCTATGAGGTTTTTATGAATATGTATGACATATAGGGATTCTTTTTTGCTATAGAAAGATGAAAATAACCATCTTCCATCAAAATCATGGTGGCACAGAAAAAAAATAAGTCTAGAGACTTATAGTTTAGACAGTATTGTTACTCATTAGTTCTGCAGATATTCAGCAAGTGCCTCATAGGGGCCAGGAAGCACTGAACTAGGTAAAGGAAACGCAAAATAAATAATGACGGTCCCTTCCCTTAAGTTTCCACCATCTACCATGTGAATAGAGAGAATGAATGATGACGATGCTCTAAACAAGGCATGGATGGTACCAGAGGAGTCTCTAAATTAAATTGGAGGAGATGACAGAAATATTCCTAGAAGAGATGCTATGCACTAGGAATTGTAGGACCAGACGATTTAAGTACAGCAAGTGATCAGATATGGAAGAGAGTTGGAATTAGGGGAAAAAGACATGCAACCTGAAAGAGTTTGAAGCCCTTGGGAAGTTAGATGCAATTCTCTGTGGGTGGACTGGCGGGAGAAAATGATGAGGCAAGAGAAATGAGGTTAGGAGGATAGGTACGGAGTGAGACCTTGAGGAGTCTTTGAAGAAAATTTTTTTCTAAAGCATTAATTACCATTATTTTAATTTTGCAGAAGCATTGCTCAGAAAAACACATAAAGGAAATCTGAGATTCACTCATGGTGGAAGGTGCCACTTGCCTGACCTGTTTGGATGTTCCTTGTGTTTGACGTCCAGGTATTTCAAGTTTGCAATGAAGGACTGAGCCTGGAAGCCTCTAGCTGTCCCAGCCACCACTGGGGTGTGGCAGATAGCGCTGTCTGTACCAATGGTGACACTGTTGCTTCTTAAGGGGGTCCCCATGTGGCCCACCTTGTCCACAGCCTTTGCTACACAACGCACATGGAACCTCCTGCTGAAGTAAATACTATCTAGGACCTACAAGAAGAATAAAGCACATCAGACATGCATGTACTATAGGAACAGGCCCTCACACTGTATCTGCTGGATGCGGTAAGCTGCTGGTACAAAGTAACCAGTGAAGGCCATCCATCCATCCTTACACCCACCCACTCATCTGTCCATCTATTCCTTCATCACATAATCATTGACCTTCCACCATGAACCAGGCACAAGGGACAGGGCAGTAACTACTTATAGCCTAAGGGAATACAACAGAAAATGACCTTGTAGACATGGAGCAAGAACCCAAAGAAGACTGGTTGCCATTAACTGTGCTGTTCTTTTTGCACATGAGGTTCAGCATAAGGATAATACAGTTGTTTTTTACACCTTTCAGCAACATTGGTTGGTCTCCAACTACTGGTGCTGAGCGCATGGTGAAATGGTCTAAGGTCTGGATGCACTTGGACTTAATTCCTTAACTTAAGTTGTCTCCCAGGAAAAGCTTCCAGGCCATTCACTAATGATCCCTTTGGTTTGGAACCAGCTTCTTGAGAATGGACATGAGCAGAAGCCAAGTTGTCTTATTAATGATGTTACAAACTCAGAATCCCCTGTGTAGAACATAACTCCCCCCAAAAGAAACATGGGTTACTTTCTTGTCATTCAACCAACAAGCAGCTTTCCCCATTTCTCTTCCTGTAAACTGATTGGGGAGGAAGATTTGAGCTTTTAGCTCCTGAACTCCTTGCCAGTCAGCTGCGCTAAATAAAGCTTTGTCTCTTTGTAAAATCCAGTGCCATAGTACTGGCTTTAACACATGTAGGGCAGTGAGTCCTTACTCAATAGTAATGATATATGGATGCAAAGGAGAGATGCTTTCTCCCCAGGAGTCCTTATTTCTCTTTCCTTCCTACTGCTCTCTGCCACACACTACAAGAGTCACAATAACGTGCAGGCTTGAGGCTGAGAACTTGGCCTCTGACACTTCCTGGTCTTTGATGGTCTTTCTTCAGACTCCTTCATTTTTCCAGACAACAGAATCAATAAGAGGGTTTTACTCAATCTATGTGGAGGCCACGAAGGTCACCAGGACCCTTCAGGTTATATGTGCATATGGATAGGGAAGTACAGAACAAGAGAAATTAATTAGAACTTCTTGGTGCCTTAGACCTCCACAAAGTCATCATACAAATGTGTAAATTCTTCCCATGAAAGCAATTTTCATTGAAGTCCATTAAATATTAAAGATTTTCCATTAAGCTTTTTTTAATTAGCTGCCACCTCTTTATTTATATATTTATTTACACATGGACTTAGTCCAGAAGGAATTTGAAGCATATTACAAATATGCATAAACACAGTGGTGTTAAATAAGTAACTGAATAAATGAAGATAAAGCAAAAGAAACAGGGACAAAGGGTATTAGTCACCAATTCATTGCAAGGACTAACATTGTAACAATAGTCATGAATTTGGAACCTTGTTAAAATGTATTTTTGGCTCAAATATTCAAATATGGTTCTGTCAGACACAGAATTACTTATGAAACCATAAGCTGTTAAGTCTTTCTATTTTAATCATATAGAAGATGAATTAAATTTGATCTAAGTTATATTACAAAAGAATGGATTCTGCGCTTTGTGAATCAGCTATGTGAAAGACAATCGACACGAGTGACCCGGCTCTTCTGGAAGCATCCCATCCCTGTCCAAAGTTTTCTTTTCTTTTTTTTTTTGGCAGTACTAGAGTTTGAACTCTGGCTTTCATTGAAGTCCATTAAATATTAAAGATTTTCCATTAAGCTTTTTTTTAATTAGCTGCCACCGTCTTATTTATATATTTATTACACATGGACTTAGTCCGAAGGAATTTGAAGCATATTACAAAAATATGCATAAACAAACAGTGGCGTTAAATAAGTAAACTGAATAAATGAAGATAAAGCAAAAGAAACAGGGACCAAAGGGTATTAGCACCAATTCATTGCAAGGATAACATTGTAGAAATAGTCATGAATTTGGAAACCTTGTTAAAATGTATTTTTGGCTCAAATATTCAAATATGGTTCTGTCAGACACAGAATTACTTATGAAACCATAAGCTGTTAAGTCTTTCTATTTTAATCATATAGAAGATGAATTAAATTTGATCTAAGTTATATTAAAAGATGGATTCTGCGCTTTGTGGAATCAGGCTAATGTGAAAGACAATCGACACGAGTGACCCGGCTCTTCTGGAAGCATCCCATCCCTGTCCAAAGTTTTTTTTCTTTTTTTTTTTGGCAGTACTAGAGTTTGAACTCTGGCAGGAATTCTACCACTTGAGGCACTCTGCCAGTCCCATCTCTGTCCAATGGCTTCCCTCTGCTATTATGCCCTCCAACTTAATACATACAGTGTGAGCAAACTGTAGGTTGAAAAGGAAAATCTAAAGAAATGCAGTCTGAATGAAATCTCTGATTTCCAAAACTAGTTGGTAAACTAATCTCAGTCAAAAATCACTGAATCTGTACTATGTGCCAGGTTCTGTGGTGAGCCTGCTTTCATGTCTCTTTTGGAAGAGAACAAACTTCACTGGAGAAAAGAGTAGGATCACTGTAGTGGACTTGTGCCAAAGGTTGGAAAACATCAGTACTCATAGCTCTCCGACGGTGAGCAGGGTGCGGGCTTGGTCTCTGGGTTCTTTGAGGGCAGTGACCACTCTAGGAAGTTCTTTTCATGTCTTCTCACAGGGCTTTGCAAAATGTCAATCTCTTTATAACAATTCTATCCTTTTGTTTAAAAACAAAATAGTGCCTACTATGTGTCATCAATGTGGTGCCACTTTGGTATATACAAATGTGGCAGGAACCTTAATCTATGTCCTTAAGGAGTTTACATCTGAATACTTACTGAAAGATGAAAAACATGTGAAGAGTTATAATCACTTAATGGTACCTACTTGTAATCTTGGACTTACTTTATTGTTTATAGATCATATTTGTCAGTGACCTTGTCAAATGGCTAAGTGGAAGAAATATGGTTTTTCAGAGCAGAATATTGAGACCCAGAGAGGGCAAATGACCAACATTCCATAGTTAAAAACAGCAGAAACAGGCAGAATCAGAATTTGTGAAGAGATCTTCTTACTCCTAGTATAGTTTGCTTTTTATCACATCCTTTTACCTTTCTGACATAAAAAAAAAAAGCAACTATGTGTACACCTGCTTATTTGTTTTATTTCAATGCATGCATGAATACCTAGGGATCTGACAGTCAGATTAACAAGGAGCAACATCAGTTCTTTACCTCCCCAACCATCCTAGCACCTGTAGCCCCTCACCCTGACCTACCATGTGGTTGACACTGGTAAATGGTGTGTTGTCAGTGATCGTCTCGAAGGGAGAGCGGGCTCCATTGCCATTGGTGGGGGCAGCCACTTCCCAGCTGAACTGAACGGACGTCTGGTTGATGCCAGCCTCGTTGCAGCGCTCCTTCATGATGGCATATCTGGGGAAGTGGGGGTCACAAGGCGTGACACAGACCAGTGGGTAGCCTGGAGAAGGGGCTTTCTTGACTCCTTCCTTGGTAACCTCTTCCACGTGGTCATAGTCAGCAAGTGTGACAACCTGTGAAAGGGAGACACAAAGCTTCAGGCCAGGTGGGAATCAGGAAGGTCAGAAAACTAAGTCTTCCTTCCCCAGAGACCTGCATGATCTCTTCACTTGTAGGGATTCTTTAAACTACAACAGGAAGTTTTTTTTTTTTTTCTTTTATTATTCATATGTGCATACAAGGCTTGGTTCATTTCTCCCCCCTGCCCCCACCCCCTCCCTTACCACCCACTCCGCCCCCTCCCTCTCCCCCCCCTCAATACCCAGCAGAAACTATTTTGCCCTTATTTCTAATTTTGTTGTAGAGAGAGTATAAGCAATAATAGGAAGAAACAAGGGTTTTTGCTGGTTGAGATAAGGATAGCTATACAGGGCGTTGACTCACATTGATTTCCTTGTGCGTGGGTGTTACCTTCTAGGTTAATTCTTTTTGATCTAACCTTTTCTCTAGTACCTGTTCCCCTTTTCCTATTGGCCTCAGTTGCTTTAAGGTATCTGCTTTAGTTTCTCTGCGTTAAGGGCAACAAATGCTAGCTAGTTTTTTAGGTGTCTTACCTATCCTCACCCCTCCCTTGTGTGCTCTCGCTTTTATCATGTGCTCATAGTCCAATCCCCTTGTTGTGTTTGCCCTTGATCTAATGTCCACATATGAGGGAGAACATACGATTTTTGGTTTTTTGAGCCAGGCTAACCTCACTCAGAATGGTGTTCTCCAATTCCATCCATTTACCAGTGAATGATAACATTTCGTTCTTCTTCATGGCTGCATAAAATTCCACTGTGTATAGATACCACATTTTCTTAATCCATTCGTCAGTGGTGGGGCATCTTGGCTGTTTCCATAACTTGGCTATTGTGAATAGTGCCGCAATAAACATGGATGTGCAGGTGCCTCTGGAGTAACAGTCTTTTGGGTATATCCCCAAGAGTGGTATTGCTGGATCAAATGGTAGATCGATGTCCAGCTTTTTAAGTAGCCTCCAAATTTTTTTCCAGAGTGGTTGTACTAGTCTACATTCCCACCAACAGTGTAAGAGGGCTCCTTTTTCCCTGCATCCTCGCCAACACCTTACAACAGGAAGTTTTACAGTTCTTTGTCAGGAGCCCCTAAAAGATACTGCAGATCTTTAGAGGTGGTGGAGAACCTCCTAAAAGCTTTATTATCCTAATAACTGCACTTCTAAGGCACAGCTCTATGTCTCATGTGAAAAATACTCTTATTTTTCTGCACATTGGAACCAAAACTCTATCACGAATGGCAGTTGTGAGTTTAAAGTTGTATTCAATTGTTAATAGTATATATTTACTAGCATCTTTTGCAAAATAAGAGTAAAAAAAGGTGGTGTCTTTCTTTCATAGTCAAGTAAGTGATGCATTTTAAAATAATTATTTCTTTATATATATCAGAGACTAATTCAGGGAGACTAATTAGAAGGCTTTTTCTGACTGCTTCACTGTTATGGGTTAATTCTCCCCTGGCAACCTCTAAGCATTTTCTTCTTTATTGTAAGGTCAGTTCATTCATCTCAAACTGGAAACCATGGTACTGCATTTCTGTATATGCTTAATTACATGTGTGCGATGAGTATGTAGGGTCATAGACATGGATGGTATTACTTTCTTACTCTTCCAAGTCCTAGCAAAGCAATGAGAAGATCAGTGGAACCGTACTTTCTATTTTTATCAGACACAAGTATCAACACAGTTTCTCACCCTTGGCACTGTTGACATTTGTCCTAAATAATTATTTGCTCTTGAGGGCTGTCCTGTACATTATAGGGTGTTTAATAGCATCCCTGGCTTCTACTCACTAAATACCAAGTGTGATAGTTATAATAAGGAAAAAATGTTCCCAGATATGACAAATGTCATTTGCAGAGGGAGGGTAAGAGGAATATTTTGCTGGCTGAGAACCAATGTGTTAGAAGAACAAAGAAATCTGCTCAATGTCCTGCTTCTCTCAAGGTTTCCTCTATTGTTCACTAAGACACAAACATAGCAATCCTTTGGGTCAAGAAACTCACAATGGGTGGTGCTGGCAATATGAGACTCCCTGCTGCCTCTTGGTCCAGAATTGTCACCGTGGCAGTGGTCACATCCCCAAGAACTGCTTCCACTGGGTCATCTGGGCCAAGGACTAGAGAGAAAGATTCATGCCATTCCCGGTCTTCGTTGGACAGGATCTCGACTTTAAAAAAGATATGATCCACACCTTCACCAAGGACAGAACAAAAAGACAGCAAAGGCGTGTTAGGGGATGTACTCAAGAGAGTGCAAGATGGTGCTGCTGGACGTCATCTTAAAATATGCCCTTTCCTTTTGGAGGTTTTCTCTAAATGCCATGACTGCTAATCACTTCAGCCCCATCTCAAGTGAGGAATCTGTTTTACAGACCAAATTCTACCTGCAGTAGAGGCTCAGTATTGCAGATTTACTATTCAACACCATATGAGGATTAATGGCCCCTGCCTGACACTGGCTGGCAGAAATAAAAATCTTTGATCCAAAATATACTTCATCCTGGGTACGAGGGTTTTTTTTGCTTAATTTTTCTTTCCCATTTACACTTATGTATGAGCGCCTCTGTGGCTGTGAGTGCTTGCACATGGATACCTTTCCAAGCCATCTGTCTTCTGAGAAGCAATAACTCAAAGGCTACCTACCAGGCCAGGCTTCACAAAGCCTGGAGGTTTAGTGGCTGGAAAGGGAAGGGTAGGGTAGTAGCCTTAGAAACCCTCTTCTTTTGTTGCAAAATGATTTTCAGAAGGTACAAACATTCCAGGCAATAAGTAAGGACACTTCTTCCTCTCCTAGGGCTAGGTTGTATCTGGACCTATCTTTTCCCCAGATTCTTATGCAGCAAAGGAAAAAGTAAAGACACTTGAAAGAAAGCTCCTTAAGTAGATGTGGAAGAAGGGCTCTACCTTTCTAGCAAACATCAACTAGACATACATGAAATGGAGCTGAAAGCTGTTCAAAGCTCCAGTGATGTGAGAGAGACATGTAGGGAACCCCTACCCCAAGCCTCTCCATGACTTTTTCCACCCACTTGCAAAGACATCTCTGAAAAGTCCTTATATTGTTGTCCACTGCTGCATATATCAAAAATGGTGTCAGGATCTACAATAGTTTTTTCACTTTATGCTGCTCTAGAAAGTTCTGTGAAAAAACCTAGCACACAATTCCACCCTTCATCTGGCTGGCCCCTCTCCCCATCAAATTAATTATCAGACAGTTAAACAACTATGACCTATGATCTTTCTATGAACTATGATCTTTCTTTCTTCCCTGACTCATCTCCATTTTTCTCTGTGGGATAAACTCTACTGAAAGCTTAGAACAGGGTATCCTATCTCCTAACAGGTGTGAAAACAATTGTGCATCAGAATTGTGCCTTCTGGATTTCAGTAAATCGAGGACCCAGAAGAGTGGTTTGTGTTGTTTGCTGAACAATGTGTGTGTGGGGGGCGGCGGGGAGGACAGCAAAGTGTTGCTAACATTCAACCAAACCATAGGACATAGGATAAAATTAACAAAAAAATTCTTTAAACTAAACCAAATGTCCAGCATGTCCTGAAGTTAGGGACTTATTTTTTCCCATGCATTTTTACTGACTAAAAAGTTTACCTACAAACTCAAAAATGTGTGTTAATAAATGGTTTATGTTACTAGAACTATTGCTTCTTCTTTTGCTTTTTCTCTTTTCTTTCTTCAAATAAAAGGTATTCACAGCTCCTTTAAGGAGAGCAACAGATTGGAACTGGTATTCATTTACCAGGATTGAATTTTAAGACTCGGCTCTTTGGGTAATAATCCACACCAGACTGGGCAGACCCATCTCGGGTGCTACAGCGAATCTTGGAAGTCCTGTTCTGATCTCCTCTGCGGATGACCTTGATGTTCAGAGTTGCGATAGCATCTGGCCCTGCAGGTTCCCGAACTTGGTATGCAGCCTCTTCAAACTCAATGGTGGGGGCTAAGAAAACAAGGTTAGGAAAACAAGAGCAAGTTAGAATGGTACAGAGGATGCAGGTTCCTATGAAACACCTTATAACAGCAAGAGTGAACTGTTCACATTAGTTCACAATACCAAGGCAAAATGCCTTGCAGTCATCAAAGTCAATCAGCATCTATCCCTAAGCAAACTTTGGAAAAAAGAATTTATTTGTGATCCTGTACAAGTTATTTCTCACATGTTTCTTATTCAAAACAATATAACGGGGAAATACATTTAGGAATTTTGAAATGCATAATGTCCCAGTATCCATCTTGGCATTATAGTTCACAGAATATTTTTAAATTTACACAATTTATCAAGGAACTGAGACATTGCAGGCACTCAATAAGTATCTATTGACTGGTTATGTGAGCCATCCTTTTACTTATGAAGTATGAACTTCTAAGATTTATAATGTATCTTATTTATATATGACTTAAATTTACCAAGTCCATCTCTCATCTCTGATCTTTTAGATATTCCATACCAGAGTCCTCACCTCCTCACCCTGGCTTTTCCTAACTTCTCTCAAGTTTTTTAGGTAAGCATGATCAGTTAAGGAAAACAAGACTTCCTAATAACCTGGCTTGAGGCACTATTGTCATTATTAGGAAATGATTAAGAATAATCATGTTGGCTTTTACAAAAAATTCATATTATGTCTTCTCTATTATTTTCTTATGAGGAAGGGTGGGATGGGTGTGGTGGTCATAGACAGGGTGAGATGAAAGATGGGAAATTGAGCAATTACAAATTTTATACCATTTTTAGTTTATTATACAATATTGTAGAAATTTCTCATCTCTGTTTCCTCCTTCTTTCTGTCTCAGAAAGTCAAGCCTTTCTAACCTTGGAAGATAAGCATCACTTGAAACTTCCTAATTTTCAGTACGGATGCTCTTTAAGACATCAGGAAGTTGCAGGAACATGTGAATTGGTTAGCTTGTTTTGGTCATTAGGTTTTCTGTGTGCCTGGGACTGATTTGTTTCAGAATTTGAACCTGTCAGTTTAAATAAGGATTAATTCAACTTTGAGACCAACTTTCAGTATTTTACCTGATTTCTAAGTTAGTTCCTGGCTTTTCATTAGCAAGAGCTAAACATTAAATAAAAAGCAGTTGTTACTGTTTGTAATACTATATATTCATTTATCAAAATATCTATTTTAGTAAAATAATGATGTTTCAATTAGAAACAGGTTTTGTTTCCTCTAGTGAGCCACTCTAACTCTAGAATTTAAGGTGATTTTAGGTTAATAGGTCAGATCAATTAGAAGAAAACCAAGTAATTAGTTCATTGGAGTCTACTGATCCTGATTGTATTTCTAACCTTACTCCTGACCTGCAGTGACTTAAATTGTTTTTAATTCTCTGTCTTAGCATTTCTGTCCTAGCTTTTAACCATACAGGTTCCTTATCTCTTAGCAATGTGGTAGAGAATAATGAGATTAGAAATTCCTATGAACTCACTGGAGCACTGTAGAAGGTGGTCACTTGCTATAAACAAATAAATATGCAGAGATTGTTATCCTAAGTACTTTTATAGCACTTTCATTTTCCAAGACACTGATAATTACAGTTTTAGTAAAGTATTAGTTCATGTCCTATCAAGCTAAGAGTAATTCGAGGCAAATTTCTTCTGTTACCATCCTCATCATTGGATATTGTGATGGTGGCCATGTTATTTTTCCCAACTCTAGCTCCACTCCAGTGGTTTCCAAGTGGATGGCCAAGGTAAACCCTGAACTGTTCCTCCGGCTCAAACATGGAGTCGTCATGGATATGCACAGTGCAGTTCTTCACCTGGAACCAATGGCACAAGATAAATTAAACTTGCAGCAGGCTATCAGGAACTTGCTTGGTTTTCTAGAAAATGATTTTTCCTACATGCAGTATCAAACAATTGGTATGAATTCAAAAGAATCCAGACAATCTCATTCATAAAATAGAATATTTAAATCTAGAAGTTCATGTCTGACTGGATCTTCCCTTCATGGCAAGACTTGTATTATAAGAACATTCTGTATCACTTTGAATTATTGATGATGAGTTATGAAGACCAAAATTAAAACAAATGACCCACTAAACACACTGAAGAATATCTGTGCCTAGAATATCTGTACTCATTGCCTAGGCTGATGAGTACATTTGCACATGTTACAATAGATTGCCTTCTAGTATGAGGGTGTTACATATTGCCAGACTTCCTGGGGAGCCGAATAACATTCCTTTTTCTTTGTAAAAATGGGGCAGTTTTACAAGGAACTCAGAAAGGCTTCATGTTAGACTAAAGACACCTTTAAACGCTAAAGAACTCTCAAACAAATCTACTGCCAAATGGCATCTTATCTGAAATCTGCTGAGTATTGAAAGCCTGAGAACATAACCCAAGTTCCTGTTTAGAGGAAAGAAATCAAATGTTTCTCAAAGTGACTATTCTCCACTGAGTACTGTGTTCCTGAGAAAATGTAAAATAAAGCCACACTATTTTAGATACATAGCAGCCCAAATAGTAGTCATGTGACACGAAGTAGAACATTTTTAGCTGCACCATTTTAAATTCACTGTCTTACTATATTGCAAAAGACATGTGGGCAGAGCGAAGTTCCACTTGCATACTTCCAAGTCAGACTAAATGGTAGGAAGATATCCCTGGGAACGTCTATATGTAGCTTGCTAACCTGGTTTTAAGTCTCTGAAGAATGTTCTTTTTCTTTTTTTCCTACACCGTCTTTCCTACAATAAGAATTCTTAATGGAATGAATGAATTTAGTAGTGACTCTTTAGTCTTTTTGAAGAAGAAATTTTAGTAAATGACAAGTGCCAAAGACATATGCTTAGCAAGCCAAAGAAAATGAAGATTCCAAAGTCTGCTTGGGAACAATGATAGATTGTCATGTGGGTTAAATATTAGGCTGTATTTTCTTTATACTTTTCTTAAATTAAAAATTATCTTTTGAATAGGCAAGGAATTCTCTTTTGAACTTAAAACAAATACAGACATGTAGAATCAAAGTGCAAGATTGTATCTATAGTATTTGTATATGTTCTTAAATACAGGTTGCAACCTAACATCAGTAAAATTCCTATAAAACATATAACTAGGACCAGTCTTTGTGAGTCATAAATGTGTAAGACTCAAGAGAATCCCCCAAAGGGAAGCTATGACTTTTTAAAGATGAAGAGAGGGTCTTTATGTGCTGAACTTCAAAGGCATTAATCAGACATAATTTTGATATATTTAGTTATGTCAAAATTGAAGGCTTCTGTTCAACTCAGGACACTGTGGCTAAAGGCAACAGATAAGCAACAGAAAGAGAAAGAAGTTTACATTATCTAAAATTAGCAAGGAATTAACATTTAAGCTGTATAAGAAAGTCATAAAAAATAAATAACAAAAGACAATAATCCAATAAAATAAATAGCAAAGAACAAAAATAAGCATATAAGCTTATTGGAAATTCAATAAGCTAACAAGCTTATAAAAAAGTAGTATAGAAACACGAGTTAAAATGAGATGTAGGCTTATATTTTTTACACTAGCAAAAATTCAAAAGATGAATAATCCTAATTATCAGAGCAGATGTAGGCTTACAGCAATCCTCATAATTTCTAGTGGCATTCAAAAAATGTATTCTGACACTCCTTTTTACACACTAAGCCCGTGCGTGCCCTGTGGTCTAGCAGTTTTGTCCCTAAGTATATGTATCCCAAAAAAATTCTCAGTCTGTTCTGTAAGGGCACATGTATAAGCACTTCACTAAAGCACTGTTTGTGGTGGTACAGGGTTAGGAGGTAACTTGGTGCAATCACTGAGGCTCTTTACTATCTATTGCTGGGGTGCATGAGTAATGTACAGCAGACACATGCCATGAAATACTATGCAACAGCCAGAAACAACAGATTAAAACCAATACCAGTAGATTCTAAAACACACTACTGTAAAAAAAAGATAAAATAACATTTTTATAAATTACAAATCAAGCACACAAAACAATAAGCTTTTTGAAAACAGATACAAATTAGAAGATTTGAATTAAACACAATAGATTAGTGGCATAGAAGGGAATGTGGCTGAAGAGTAGGAGCAAAATAAAATGAATAAATCAAACAAAAAAGAGAAGAGCTTTGTACAGACCAATGTGTCTTGAGCCAAGGGCTGGAACTGACTCAATGACCTGCAATTCAGATTTTACAGATGGGGAAATGAGATCTCAGTATATGCTTTTTGATATACACTGAGGTGTAGCCTTTGATTTGTAGGCAGTCATATTTACTGGTGAGTTTCTTAGGAGTTCTATGCCCATGGCTTTTTGTGTGCATTGTCAAGAGAATATTAAAGACATTATCAATTAGTAAGAAAATTCCAAGAATGTTCAGAATTTGTTTAATTTACTTGGCTACAGAAAAATAAGGTAATAGGAAGAAAAGAATTTCATCTTTCAGCTACCATAAACCTTCCTACCTTCTCCCCTTTCAGAAACGTAATCCGTGAAGAGTCTGCATTTCGTCTTTCCTCAAAGTCTTCCATGACCTGAGCAGAATGGCTCTGCGTGTAGCACCTCACAGATGACTCATAGCTCAGGTCTCCACTCCGGATAATGGGAACCTGCAGCACACCTTCCTTCTCCTTCACCAGGAGTAGATCCTTTGCAAACTGCATGCTGGGCACTGGGCATGTGAAGGAGAGATGGAGGCATCATCAGCGAGAGGTGGAGATTTGGTGGCCCAAGCAGAGCTCTGCTAAAGGCCAACACAGGCTGACAGATCACAGGTGCTAAGTGGATTTCAAAGTATGGTTGTTGCTCTTAGGACAAGACAGCTGCTTTTACTATGGCTGTGATTCCAATAAAACAGAATAAATTGGCTCTGTACTTGTCTTTGCTCAACTTCCAGGTATGGTCACTACCTCAAATGCAGAGAAGTAATGTAAGGAGAAAAATGGAACAAATGAAAGAAATATCATGACTTGGGTTTTTAAGAGTCTACTTTCCTCCTACGACTACAAGAAAGACAAAAAGCTGTGTAAGTCTGATAACAAATAGCCCCTCACATTGGTCCTAGGGTCAGGGAGACAATAGGGAAGAGTGGCAAGGTTGGCAAAGATGAAATAGACAGCCTATCTATTTAAAGGGCTCTACTCTTTTGTTGCCAGCTCTTGCTTTCAAATTAAGCCAGAGATCAGGATTTTTCTTCTACATTAAAAAATAGCAACAAATAAAATAGTGAAAAGAAATTCCATATAAGTCCAAACTAGGAGGACCAAATGACACACATCCATAGACTGAATTTCACCCCTTGGCTCCTATTCTGTGACCACTGCTAGGGAGTTACCTCTTCTTTTATGACTGATGTCCTTATCTGACTTTAGGAAGGTCCCATAGCCAACCGGTGGTTAAAAACAAGGACTTTGGAATAAAGAGGCTTGAGTTTCCATCCCAGCTTCATGGCATAGGGGAAGTTACTTAGACTTTCTGAGTCTTAGCTTTTTTACATGTGAATTTAAAATATTAATATCTAATTCATAGAATTGCTGAGAGGACCGATTTAATGACACTCAATATAGTGTCTAGCTCATAGGAGGCACTCAGGTTTTGGTAGGGAATTAATACATTACAATTTCTACTTGTCCCCTAACCTCAGGCTTCTCTTTATGAAGAACCTTTTTTCCCTCTTTACTTCCTACAATAGAGTCACATGTCAAAGCCTTCTGAGGTGGAAAATAGTCTTTAGGGCTATAGGAAAATGACCCCAAAGCTGTTATCACCCTATTCCTGGCTGCCTTCTGGATGTGCCCTGCCAAACCTAAAAGGAAGGAGCAGGAAGGGGTGCTGAAAGCAGTTTGCCACTCAGTAAGTCCATGTGTAGAAGGTTCTGTTTGCTTATAATCTACCCCTGCTCAGAACTCTTGGCCCTAGCAAAGATAAAAATCATCCCATTGTCTGAACTCAGCCTACCAATTACTACCTAATAAAAAAAAAATAGAAGATACCTCTTAAATAATACTGCTCCTAAAGGAAAACTAGTGACTGTGGTGTAGAAGTCCTGAATATTAACCAGGGTAAGGGTCTGTCATCCAGTGAAACAGTCTGTTCTCTTAAAATGTAGGTGACAATGACATTACTCAGCACAGAAGGACAAGAGGAAGCTTGTTGCCAGGGAAAAAACAAAACAAACAAGGAAGGTTCTCTGTTCCTGGCAGATGTCTAAAGCTGTAGATTGGGTTTTCTTATTGGGCTGGCATGCTTCAAGTTGATGAGACAGTTAAGGGCTAAATTGGCAATGTTTAGGTTCTGCCATGCATTAATCAACCCCAAATTCCTCTTGAGTTATAAAAGACTCCTGTCTTCACTCTTTAACAAGATATTCACTCTTCCTTCTATTTGTATATACCAGAGAGAGAGTGGGGGAGGGGAGGGAGTGAACACTTCTGACTGCCCTTTAAGAAGTCCCCAGACATCTGGAGACTGACAATAGACAATGCAGATAGCAGGGTGAATTCAGGACAGGTTTATGCTCAGTGTTGGTGTAGATCAGCCTTTATGTTAAGGACTTTCACACATATTGATGCCATTCTCTCAAGCTTGTAAGGCAGTAGAGCCCCCAGGAAGTGTATCATGGGCCCTCATTCATGGGATTACAGACATTCTCTTTCTACACTGGTGAGGGACATGATACAAAACAGAAGTTACCCTGAAGGCTCATGGGTTTGCATTGACTACAATGCACTTACTGTCAGCACCTGTCTCAGCATATTTATGTACATGGCCAATTTATAATTATTTTTTCATTTGTGTGTTTCATACAGAAACGGGCTGTGTGACTCTGCTCTCCATTACCCTGTAACCCACACAAGGTTGAATACCAGTCTTAGGCACAGAACATTTTCTATAAACGCTGCTCCTTCGGTAATCTTCTCAGTCACTGACCACCGTGCCTGGGATGTGAGCAATGGTTAAGTCAGAGATTTAGGAGAGCTCTTGCCTCGTTTCTTGGGACTTAATGAGTAGGTAAGACTCTGTTGCACATAAAGGAGCTGTCATGGTTACAAGACCCTTCTTGTCTTGCTCAGTCAGTGTTACTCATGTCTACAAGACAGTCTAATTCTAGGTACCAGAGCAGAAGAGGAAAACATTCTGAGATGAGCTACTTAAGATGATTTAGGGTCCTGAAATCAGTCCAGTAGAGAAAGATGAAAGGAGCTAAGATTATGTCAGAGGCTGAAAGCTGACTTCATAAGGATTTTGAGTGACAGTAAGTGTTGCTATTTAAGGACAGCTGCCAGCTAAAACTGTAATATGGAACTCAAGGACTGGATATGGGTGGACTACATCTGAGTCAACTCTGGCTCTGTCACATCCACTCTATATGATCTTATACAAATTCTTCAACCCCAGTGTGACAAGTTGAAGGGCTATGGTGAGGGTTGAAGATAATGTACTCTTGGTACTTGAGATTGCTACACTGAATGAACTCAACAAGAGTAAGTTATTAATTACTAGGAAGAAAGATAACATAAATAAGCATGAATACTACAATAGGTTATTGAAACAGGTTTTGAGATTTCTTTCCCTGGGTTAAATTTTTGACTGAAAATATATTGTAGCCTCCCTGAAAGATTAGAAATACTTTATTTCATATATTCATTTCCTAAGTTTGTAAACTTAGTGGCTTTCAACTAAAATATAAGTAGACTCTTGTGTTGAACAGAGTGGGGATTGTATGTGTTACTGGAGTCTTAATGGTTAGTGTGAAAAATTACATATGCATCAGGAACAAAAGAAATTAACATGTATAATCTACCATGTGATGGGGACCATAGTAGGTATTTTCACATATTTCATCTGACTTATTTCTTACAACAATCTTGTGAAGTAGACATTTTTATTATTTATAGATGAACAAAATGAGGCTCTGTAGCCTCAAGGCAAAAGAGCTATGCTGTGGAGGGCTGAGATTATATTTTAGGACTTCCAACTCTGCATTCACGTTCTAATTCATAGGGAAATCAGCTGTCCTTTCATGTAAAATGGTAAGAAATCTTTTCAAGAATAAAAAGTAACTACTTTTCCTTCTTTCTATGGCTTTCCTTTTCTTCTGAGGAAAAAATATCCCATAGTTTCTAATACTGCACAAAAAAAAGCATGTTGTATAATACCAAGGGGATGGACATGGAGTGAAAATTCTTAGAATACATGCTGGTTCCTACTACAGCATGGGTGGCTGTTTACACCCTCATTCTCAGTTTCCCTTACCTAAAAAACAGAAACAAAAGGAAAACCATGGGATTGTGAGCTATTGAGATAATGTTTAATGGATCACTTGGTAAAGTCTGAAGTAACGTGATATAAAATAGTAAAATTATTATAACCTTGTTCATGGTTTAAAAGTTCCTATTTTGTGAGTCACAATCTTAAATGTAAAACTTAAAGTTGTAACACTTCTGGAAGAAAACACAGGAGAAAATCTTTGTAATCTTGGATTAGGCAAGGATTTCTTAAGATTTAACACTAAGGAATGGTCTCTAATAGAAAAAAAAATTGATTAAGTGTGGCCACTTTAAAAAAAAAACAAAAAACTATTGCTCTTTCAAAGACATTGTTAGAAACATCAAACAGATGAGCAGAAGATTGGCAGGAAATATTTGCAAACCATGAATTTTTGTGCAAAATGTATAATAATGCAATAATGAGGGAGAAAACTCAATTTAAAAATGGGGGAAATACTTGAAAAAAAGTTCAACAAAGAAGATGTATGGATGGCAAAAGTATATGAAAATATCTCAGGGAAATCACTTTAAACCATAAGATATCATTATACACCTACTACAATAGCTTCTAAAAAAAATTTGACAAGGCTAACCATACATTCACTGTATTACCCAAAAACCCCATTCTCAGTGTTTATTCCAGAAAAATGAATAACTAGATCCATATAAAAAATATGCAAATGTTTGCGGCCTCTCTAGTCATAATTGCCAAAACCTTGAAGCAATGCAAACATCATCCAACAGGCTAATGGATAAACCAACTGTGGTAATCTATATAATAGAAAGTTGCTCCATAATAATTGGAATGGATTATTCACATATGCAACAATATGGATGACTCTCAAATGCATTTTTCTACATGAAAGAAACCTGATTAAAATTATATATATTACATGATTTGATTTACATTACATTATGGAGAAGGCAAAATTTCAGGGACAGATAACAGATGTGTGGTTGTCAGGGATTGTTTTTTGGGAGAGACTGACTATGATGATGCATGAGAGAATTCTATAGGGTGCTGGACTGTTCAACATCTCTATGATGCTGATTTGCATATTACTGTGTGCATTTTTCAAAACTTTTAGAGCTGTACACTAAAAGGGTGAACTTTAGTTATGTGAGTTATCCCTCAATAATTTTGTGTACATCTCTGTGTGTACATATACATTTATGTAAATACACACACATGCACATATATACAAAGAAATGGAGTAGAATGGTTGTTTCCAATAAGGGGACCTGGAAGATGGAGTGATGGGACAGAAGTGAAACTTTCACAGTATATATTTTTGCCATTTGCATTTTAATACTCTATGCATTATATAAATTATTTAAGAATGAATAAAAACATTAAATATATCTCCACCTCCTTTGTGGATTTTCCAGCCACTAAATGAGTTTAATCATGGGTTCCCTGGTCAACATCTGGGGTTGCTGATGAGGGAGGGTCTTCTTGCCTTAGGGGAAAATGTGACTCCATCTCTCTACTCACCACTAGAGTCCATACAATGGATCTAACTTTCTCAACTTTCTAATTCCCATCAATTCTTCCTGAGAAGCAACTGTCCTTTCTGGTTCACCTTTGGTTACTTTGGTTACATCTTAAACAGTAATTGATATTTCATACACCTGTCTCTGTTCATTCCTGCACATCATCTTTAATACTGCCAATAGTGGTTTCCTCAAACCAAAATCATACCATTCTTCTGCTCTAAAAGGGAACATCTTATTCCCCTTTGTTTCAAAGTCCTTTGGTTGGAACATATGGCCTCTTAGGACTTGACTCCAACCTCCTTCCCATTCCATGTCTCTATTTGCCTCCTTCCATGGTCAAATCAAAGGAAACATTCTACTATTTCCCAAATACGCACATTTCAATACTTTATACTTTGTATTTACTATGTCCATTTGAAATAGGCTTTCATTTATTACCCATTAGCTAAACTGTCATGCCTGAAGACTTTACTTAATATGTCCTCCTTTTGAAATCTTCTACAGTTATCCCATAGTGACTGCTCAGTTCTCTGTGCATCCACAGTACTCGACGTACAGTAATTTATCACAATATGCTCTGGTTTTTCTGTTTAAGTATCTTATCCCTTTAAGAAAATGTGGTATCTATACACAATGGAATTTTATGCAGCCATGAAGAAGAATGAAATGTTATCATTTGCTGGTAAATGGATGGAATTGGAGAACATCATTCTGAGTGAGGTTAGCCTGGCCCAAAAAGACCAAAAATCGTATGCTTCTCCCTCATACATGATAAAAGCTTTAGCACACAGGGAGGGGTGAGGATAGGTAAGACACCTAAAAAATTAGCTAGCATTTGTTGCCCTTAATGCAGAGAAACTAAAGCAGATACCTTAAAAGCAACTGAGGCCAATAGGAAAAGGGGAACAGGTACTAGAGAAAAGGTGAGATCAAAAAGAATTAACCTAGAAGGTAACACACACACACAGGAAATCAATGTGAGTCAATGCCCTGTATAGCTATCCTTATGTCAACCAGCAAAAACCCTTGTTCCTTCCTATTATGGCTAATACTCTCTCTACAACAAAATTAGAAATAAGGGCAAAATAGTTTCTGCTGGGTATTGAGGGGGTAGGGAGGAGAGGGAGGGGTGGAGTGGGTGGTAAGGGAGGGGGTGGGGGCAGGGGGGAGAAATGACCCAAGCCTTGTATGCACATATGAATAAAAAAAAAAAGTATCTTATCCCTAACTAGACACTGGAATTCTTGAGTACAGGACCCAAGTTATACGTCTCTTTTGTGACTGGCAGAGTGGGTGGTAAGGGAGGGGTGGGGGCAAGGGGGGAGAAATGACCCAAGCCTTGTATGCACATATGAATAAAAAAAAAAAGTATCTTATCCCTAACTAGACACTGGAATTCTTGAGTACAGGACCCAAGTTATACGTCTCTTTGTGACTGGCAGAGCATGAGCAACATGAATGGTCATCTCCCCTGAACACTTCAATGTAAAAGTGTGCACATGTGTGTCTTTGTGCATGGAGGTGAGCACACACACACATTTCTCGAGTGGAAATATGAATGAGTTACAGTTTCACATACATGGAAATTAAGGGAAAAAAAAGACATATGTTTTGAACCACAGGCTGATATTCCCAAACTCTTACCATCTTGGAATGTGTCATTAATTGCAATGACAGCCTGGAATGGTTTGGTTAGTTCGGACCCTTGTGCTGAGCTGAGGAAAACCACAAATGTCTCCAGTCCTTCAATTACTGGGTACTGAGTGTCATCCAAGATGGTCAAAGTGCAATACTGGAGGAGAAAGCAAAGAAAACTTTACGGAGTATCCAGTACCCAACATCCATTTGCCTTTGGTGGATTAGGACAAAGTTTGTCTTTCTTTGGTCATCTTAAAGCAAGATTTTTTAATTTATCCATCTCTATTATATACTCCTAGCAGTATGTTTCTGGATATTTATATCAAACAGGGGCAATTTGTATTCTAAATCTGTACACTGTTGGATATTTGATGCTGAAAGGTGACTTGTTGAGTGTTAGGAAGATTCTATCACAAATTTGTCCTCTCATTTGCATGTTTCTGTTTTTAAATAAAGTAAAGATAGTAATTTGGTAAGGGGCCTTTCAAGTCCTCAAGAAAGCTTAGAAAGCAGACTCAAGGCCATCCAGACTTACAGCTTTGTTCTTTGGCTGCTGTAGACTCACCTGCTCAGTGATACCTGGCCCAAATTCCACCTTCCTAGAGCTAGGGACATAGTCAACCCCTGGAGTGGCAGAAGCTGGGTCTGAAGGCCGCGTTGCACACCAGACAGATGTGAAAGTAGAAAGGTCAGTACCACGGCGGATAACTGGAATCCTCACAGAGCCTGAATTGATAGACATTTCAATGGTCAGTCTTGAGCCAGTAAGTCAGCGGGATTTTTAGAACACTGCTCCCTCTCACTGCAACAGAGGCAGCTTTCTCCCACTCAAGTTTGTTTGATTCAACTTCAGTGATGCTCCTATAACCCAGCTAAGGAGGACTGAGAAGTGTCACAGCCCCCTTTTTTGCTGACACTAAGATCAAGAGGAGACCTAGTGGAGGCCCTCATGGAGGCACTACTGGAGAGACAGCACTTAGGGGAGAGGAGTCTTAACAAAGCACTTGAGAGAGAAGAGCCCACTGAAAAACACCACAAGTCTATTGAGGGAGAAGAAACTCAGAGACTAGGTCCTCAGGTAGAAAATAGTCAATAACCAGCTACTAGGGGACACTATGCGGCCTGATGCTGAATGTTCCTAATTAAATGTTTTAACTAGGCTGAATTTCCTATTTTATCCAAGTGTGCACACATCATTACTTAAACCACATGTGCTTATTGCTTATCTTAGGGATGTTCCTCTAGTCCATAGTAACAAAATATTTTGTGATGTCCTAAAGATACTTTGTGTGGGATATGGTGGTATACATATGAAATTCTAGAACTCAGGAGGCAGAGAAAGGAAGATTAAGAGTTCAAGGCCAGTCTGGGCTATATAGTGAAACCCTGTCACAAAAGACCAAGGGCTGAGAATGTAGCTCAGTGGTAGGGCACAGGCCCTGGGTTTGATCCCCAGCACTGAAAAAAAAAATCTATCTATCTATCTATTTAAGTATTTTCACAACCAAGGTAAGAGAAAAGCTAACATAAAAACCCCATAAATCACATTTTTATATGCTGTGAGGTAACATATGGTCATATTTGGGCATTTGGTGTATGGGAAAGGAAACACAGTAGAGAGTACATGGTTTTAAGCCAGTCTGCTATTAGTTAGCTGCTTAATTTTTGATCATTTATTTTATCTCTCTGAGCCTCCATTTGCTCTTCTGTCATCTGTTCCAGAGAAGGTCAAGTGAGAATGCATGGAACACACATGGCAATGTAACTGGCATTCAGTATGTGCTCAAAAATATTAGTTCCCAATATGTCTCAGAATCCCTTCAAAGAGATAAAAACCTTGATCTGGCCTAGATGAGTAGATACTCGGCACAGCAGGTGTTCCCTCCATCAGAAGCACACAGAGGACCTATTGGAGCCATAAGAGGGAAGAAGCCTGGGCTCTGAAACACCATGTGGAAGAGATTTACATGCTGACTGTTTGGGGCTGATATCTAAATGAGAAAGTTGCACTGTGTTAAGACACTGAAACTTTGGAGTTTGTTTCAGCAGCTAGCAGTACACTCATCTCCATCTTTGACAGATCACATTCTCTTCCTTCAAAAGCCGAAGGCCTTAGCTCCATAGGCTCTCCCTCTGGACCACAGAGGTCAGTCCTTGCAGCCTTAAGCCAGAGCATTCTCTGCCATTGATAACCAGAGCAAGGGAAGTGGTTGGAATTCTGTATCCTCTACTACTTTCTCTTCTTGGTCTAGATGTGCCTCAGACCATCAGTGGTATGGTTGAGGAATGACATCCTAATGTCTTAAGTACAATCTCAAACATAAGAAAATAATTATTCAGTAAAAGGATCAGGAGATGGGTTGTAGAACCCCAGAAAGGTTTCCTACCTGCATCCTCACTGACAGTGAAAGCTGTGTTGCCCAGGGAGATAGTAGAGGCATCATTGGGACCACTAATGAGCACCTTGGCCATTGCCACCCTTCCGATACGGGCATTGTCAGAAGCATCAGCCAGAGCAATCTCAAACTCTTCTTCCTCTTCATACTCGCTGTCATCAATAAGCATAACATCGCAGGTAGACATGGTGACACCGGGCCCAAATATGACACGACTCTCAGCAGACCTCCTCCCTCTAGATTTAAAATCAGAGCCTGATTCTAGAGCATAGAGGCTACTTCCCATAGCTGACTTAGGGATGGTGTAGCAAATTGCAGATACAATGCTGCTTGAATCTCCTGAAATACAAATGACAAGAAAGCCAGAACATTTCAATCAGTGTTTCTCAAATTTTGGAATCTCTGATAACTTAATGAGTTGGCTCTCTTGAACACATGCTATCACTATTTCTGTTCAAACTCTGACAGGAAACCTTCCCGAATTGCAGTTTCTTTTAAGCCTGTGGTATAAACTGCTTGAGGATTTAATATACCCCAGATACTTCCCCAAATAACTTAAAATGGATTTCCTATTCTGTGAATTTTGTGCTCTGTTAATTCACAAGACTCATTGCCCACCATCTAAGACCACAGCGGGTGGAAAGATGAGAGACATATTTGGTACTTTAAGTAGCAAAGTCATTGTGTCCTGAAGGTAATGTTATGAGCACAGTTCACTGCCTTTCTCAATAAACTTGTGACTTTAATTCCCTGAGAGAAACAAGCTTTTTTTTTTTTAAAAAAAAAGAAAGACAAAACAAAATAAAACTTGCCTCTCTGTACAAATGACCTTACTTATTAGTGCTGCCATGTCCCTTGGTAACAGTCTGTTCTGGGCCTGGCTTGGTGGCCCAGAGCATTCAGTGGGGCTTGCTTGTTTTCCAAGTGGTATTACCAAAGTTTTGTGCTATCCACAGTATTTGTCACACTAATACCCTGTCAGCTAATTCAATAAAGAAATCTGACATCATCACGTACAGTCATGTTATGTCTTTGGGAATTTCATTTCAATGTGTTTTAAAGTCTCAGTGGTGAAGTCCTCAAGGATGTCCTTCTATGTCTTGCAGTTTATTTCTCATTTGAGCTCTATCTATGACACTCAGGGAGGGAAATCTTTAAATATATTTTCTGTCTTTCAGAACTAAGGTTCTTACAATTACAACTTTCCTTTTTGGCCATGGACACTAAATATTTTATGGAAGGGATGACTGATTAAGCACACTGAATTCATGAATAATTTGCAAGGCTAAATCTAACCAGTCCTCTTCCCAATTTAAAATAAATGGAGTTCTAACTACTTGAACTAAGAGAGACTTTCTGATAGAATTCACTATGGGTAGAATCATCATTATGGTTGTTCTGGGGATCAAGTGAATCAACACATGTAAAATATATGAACAAGTTCATATGATACACAAGTACTTTGCAGATAAAAGGGACTCAATGAATGTTAGCTATTATTGTAGCTCTTTATCACCCTTGGCACCAACAGACCTTTTCTTTCAATAGGCGCAAACAGAAAGCCAGCACTCTCGTTGACCTGGTAGGTCTTCTTATCAAACTCTAATGTGGGTTCGTCTTCAGTATCATTGATAATGACCTTCGCCTGGGTGAACTCCCCTAACAAGGCATATGCTGGCATGCTGAGCTCCACTGAGAAACTCTCAATGTTCTCAAACACATCATCATCGTTGATGACAATGGTGCAGGACTTAGTGTCCTCCCGTTCATCAAACTGCACCTGTCACAAAAGAAACAACAGGAGTTAAGCTGTTCTCAGTGTCCACTGCTCTGGTTCCCCAGAGTATTGTGGGAAGACAGCAGCCAGGTCCAGTGGGCAGAGAAGTACATACTACGGTTAACTCTTTCTCCCCATTCCCTGCCTACCGCCTGGAACACTGAGCCATTTCTTCCCATTTATCACCTGTATGTGGAGGCTGATTTATTGGGTGGGGACAAAGAAAAGGGCAAAGACCTTTTCTACCATTTGGTAACTATAGAAAAACATAATAATTATTTATACTCTGTTTAATTAACTCACTCGAGACAGCAATAGTCATCATTTGATTACTTGGTTCCCCTTTTTCTTGAGGCAAGTTTAACCAGAGATCGCTGACCTTGGAATATAAAGTTCTACTTTCAAATTCTGGTCCTGTTACTTCCAAACTAGGTAAAGTTATGAAACTTTATGAACATCAGATTCTTAATCAGCTACATATTTATTGAGAAGATTTAAGAAGAGTGTATATAATGAAAGTAGTAAGTATATTTTCAAAGCACTAAACAAATGAAAGATATCATTACCATGACCTTATTACTTACATAATTAAAACTGACACAGAGTCTCATGGAACTGAATAATGGGGTTTGAATTAATCAAAAGTTATTTAAATATGCCAAACAAGTTTTAACTTCAGATTTGACTAAAACCTTTACCGTTACAATGAGCTAGAACTATGATATGAATGAATTTAGTCTGGTACAATTTAGATGAGTTATTTTACAGGCATACAATTGTGAACTCAATAAGGATTTTCCTGGTTTTACCTTATCTAAAAGAAAGAATGAAAGGAAGAAAGAAGGAAGGAAAGGAGGAAAGGAAGGAAGAAGGGAGAAAAGATAAAACTTTTAAATGAAACTAGGGATACAGACTTATCCAAAACTGAAAGGGCAGGAAATGGACCTGGGCTGTACTCTGTGTAAAAAGAAACTGCTGAAGTGAGTATAAAAAATAGTCATAAGCCTTTGGGGCCACATAAATTTGAAAAATGTGTAATTTTAATGAAACAGAAAATTATTAATACATATCTAATCAGCTAATTAAGTTTTTACTAAGCTCTACACTTAAAAACACCTCCAAGAAAATGAACAATCAAGGGATTTCTGTTTAAGATCTAGTACTCACTGATGGCCCTTTGTCTTTTCTCAAAAAACACCAGAACATGCTCTGCCTTACCCATTGGTTAAAGGTTCTTTAGCTTATCTATTCCCTCTTGTCTATTTTTTTTTTTTGAGATAAGGCCTCATTATATAAGCCCAGGCTTGTCTGGAGTTGGTGATCCTCTTGCTTCCACCTCCCAAGAGCCGGGATTATAAAATGTGCTCCACCACACCCAGCTATTGGTTCTTTGCTAATTCCTCATTTAAACTGGACATAAGAGGCTTTAGCTTAGCTGACTCCCGAACTCAATGAAAGGACACAGCCGCTTTGCTTAACAGAAATTTGTGTTGTCATAAGAATAATGAAATTGACTTGAAAAAATTGAATAATACCTATTAAATGTCAAATCTTGTGCCTTTCTCTCCCTCCTCCTCTTTCTGGGGCCCAGGGCCTCACACATGCTAAGAATGTAATCTACCACTGAGCTAAATCCCATTCCAGCCTCCTCACTCTTTCCTTTTTCTTTTCCATTGCCACCCTGGTGCTGATGAGCACAGGAACCTGGATGACTTGCACATTTCTCTCTCTATCCAGACTCCTCTCTTCACTTCCCACCCATTTACATAGCAGTCAATGTGTTGTTTCCAAATCAACTCATACTAACCATTCCTAAGGCAGTCACAGCACCAAAACTTGTCAAACCAGTTCCTACCAGTCCCTTCCTAACAAGGGCATCATCACCTACCTCTTGCCACTCTCTAACCTACTGCTAAATCCTATCAATTCTACTAGTCTGTCAAATTCACCCATTTCTCTCCAACTTCACTTTCTCCCTACTCTACCCTCATCATATTCCATTTAGCCTATCCCAAGAGCTTCCCAACTGGTCTCCTGACATGCTCTCTTCCTTCCTTCAGGTAAGGAAGGGGAGGGAGATGAAGAATGAGGACACCCAAGGTAGCTAACATTCTAACTATGGGGAGGGAATACAGGAAAATTACTTGAGGAAGGATGCTGATGGAAAAAGAGGTGGGTAAAGAGAAGGGGGTGTTTTCACTATAGTGTGTAACCATGCCTCAGACCTTGTCAGAGCCTTCCTGGCAAATCAGGAATCAGAGGTCTGCAGTCTACCTACCTGGCCAGCATATTCCACGTAATCCTGTTGTCCAGGTTGGGAGCTAACTCTGGAGCTAGAGCTGGCTGTGCCTTGCTCAGTGCGACACAAGACGATGGCATACTGGTTCAGGTTCCCAGTCCTCTGCACTGTGACGCTGACAGACCCCGCCTTCTCACTGACATTGTAGCTAGAAGCACACAAGAAAGACAGCCTATGAAAATCCACCCCAGGTTTGTGAAGAAACAGCTTGTTCAGTGCTTGTCTCTTCTATTTGGCTATTTTGGTGTTAGGCAGTGCAGAGAAAAGTCAGTTCGGTTCCTTCAAGAAGGCACATAAATTAAGTAATGTGTTCACTTGGAACAGTCACAGCACCAAGTGAACAAGGATGCTGTGGATGAAGAATGTCACCTGCCCAGTTTGAAAGAGAGTTGAGAGTCACTCAGAAGATGGATGACACAAAGGAAAAATTACAAACAACCTCTCCTAGTGTGGCAGAGTAAGCAGAACAGGCCAGTGGGTTCTTAGAGAAGAAAGCCACTCGGAAGGAAGAATGTCAGTGACTTAGCTCAGATGGGACTTGACTGAACCAAAGCTGCAGGAAGTGTACTACAGAGCCAGGGAAGCACCTGAGGCAGAGCGTAGGTAAGAAAGGTGTTCAGATAAATGGTGTTTTATAGCAATGAGGTGGGATTTATTTAGTTTAAAGCTAGGGATTTGTATCGTTTTGTTAAGTAGGAAGCCAGCTGTTCATGTGTTATTCATTTATAATAAGTAGGTTTGGAAAAGCCACAAGAGAAGAGGGTGTGAACCAGGCTTTGTTTTTCATCTGGGGACAGCCATTGTGCCTGGGAATATGTCTCATTGCTCTGATGGTTTTAGGGTTAGACCTCATTGCCAGCTTTGGGACCCTCTATACCATTTAGTCCACTAAATATGAGAAAGTTGTCAAGAAAAAGGAGTCTGTTTTACTGAATTTATTCAATTCTGAAGGAGATGTGATCAAGAGATAAATAACAGCAAACAGAAAAACATTATATATTTTAATGTACCCTCAACTTGTCCTGTGTTTTTCTAAGTATGTGTAATAAGAGTGCAAGGACCTACGTCTGGGTCCCATGAAAGCAAGTTTGTACGTCCTTCCACACTGAGTTCCTATTTGCATCTGAATTGTCATGGAGTTAACATCCTAGAATAATGAGTCTCTGGAATATAGATTTAAAAAATTATTTCCTCAGAAAAATAATAATGCTAGTAATAATTTAACAGTACTGGTTATTACCAACACCATGCTTGCTCATCACCTGTCCCAACCAGTATCTCTGTTTGCCTCTGTAACCCTTCAATAGGTTAGGAGAACAATGCTTCAAAAGTGTGAGAACAGAAAGAACAGAAATGGAAGGCAAAAACATTGTTAGTATGGGCCAATAGTTATTCTCAAACTTGAATATCTACTTTTACTTTTCCTATCAATTCTACTGGATTATCTTCTAAAACTTGAAAAATAGAAGCAAAACTATCTGTAAGAAATGTAGTTACTGCAAATGGTTAAGACCACTGGGCTTAAATCCTGGTCTTAATGCTTACTAACTACTTGGATAAGTTACTTTACCTCTTTTTGTCTCTATTGTTTTGCTGCCGTGAGAATTCATCTCATAACTGCATAATCACAAATAAGTAAGATATCAAGTACATAGCACAGTGCCTGGTCTACATAGGATCCAATCAATATTTCATGCAATTATTGTTTTTATTATTGTTATCACCACCACAATCATCATCAACAGGTGACTAGAGCTGCTGCCTACATGGTACTTCCTCCTGATTTCCTCCACTTGACTCATTCATTTCTCAAGAATGAAACCATAATAGTCCATCTACCTGGTATATTTAAAGCTGATAAGGGACCACTGGATATGGAAGATGTTGTCGCTGACCACATTGGGTTTACTGTCTTTCACCAGAAACTGAAAACTATCCATCATTTCATGGATCTTCTCTTCATGCAACACATAACGAATCAACCCCAAGTTCACATCCTCTGTGAGAAAAAAGACTCACTGTAAGTTCAAGGTGAATTAACCCAGAGATATAAAGACAGCCTCACAGATTCCCACACCAGCACATCTAGTTTATTCCTCTGATTAGTTACAGGCAGAATTTGTTTCCCCGAGAACTTACAAGTATAGTAGTCTTAAAAAAAATGGTTTCTTCCAGATTTTAAAATAAGATACTACAGCTCCCTGTAACAGAAGACCTGTCTTTAGGTACAGAAAGTGCCTTTATACTGTTGTAAAAAAGAAAACTTCAGGGTCTTGACAGAAAGCACCTCAGCAAATGTCTGTGGAATGTTGAAAGGCAAATTCAAGTTGACAGGGACAAGTCTTTAATCCCTTACCCCATCCTCTGTGTGTATAGCCTCTTACCCAGCCTTAATTCCTTCTAAAGAAGGTTATTTCTAAAAAGAAAGACTGTGTTTGGATTAAAGCAATGCAAGGCATACCTAAAAATGTTCAAGGAGACAGACAAAACATGATTGAAGACAAGAAGTAAAAAAGAGACTATGTAGCATGAATTTGAATATGAAGTGTTTCAGTGACTGCCCGTCAGGACCATCCTCAAAAGTCTGGCAAGCTTACAAGAATCTAAATACAAAATGGCCTTCTTCATGATATTCAAACAGGAAAATACTTCTGTTCAGCAACTTATACATGTTGATTTTAATTTGTTGGCTGAAGGTTTTTTTTTTTTTTTATTTTAAACCACTGTAATCCTTTAGAGGACAAAAAAAATCTTTCATAGAGTCTGCCTGTTGTTTGTTTTGTTGTTCATTTGTTTGTTTTTAAAGAAAACCAAGCAGTACTACACTGTCTTTTCAGAAAACTTGGCCCATACCTAAAGGCAGGAAATATGGTAAAAATGAATTTTTCTTTGCTATAGTTGAGAGTAACAGGAACAAAATCAGGAGTAAAACTCACAAGGAGTATGGTTAGACACAAAAAGTCAATGTATTTGTTTGCAAAAGTAGCTGGAAATGGCTGTTGAAAAGATCTAGGTGATAGGGAGAGTGGGGGTTTGAATATTCCTTCCATTTCTAAGTCCCCCAGTCCCACCCTGTGTGAACATGGCAGCAGCTCTGCCAGGCTGTAGCTTATTTTCCACATAGCCGTGCTTGGGGCCCATTGTGATCTCATAGACAAGCTGTGGGTCCTCTGTGTCTGGGTCCATGGTCAGCAGTTCCTTCTTGGTGATCAGGTTGGTTGCCTGGAATAGAAACCCATTAAATTTAATTCTTGAGGTGGGAATTAAAGCAAGTACAAGACCCTCTGACTCAGATTTAATTCAGTTCAACAATGATTCACTGAGTACATTTATTGCCTGGAAAACTCTGTCAGGACAGGAGAGGCTCTGAGGATGGAAATCATCCCAGTCTCTGCCCCCAAGGTTTTCATACTTGATTGGGAAAGAGGAGTTGGTGTATAAGGTCAATGTGGCAAGAGGTATAATGGAGATATAAAAAGATTACAAAGGTTTTTGGAGGAGGGAAAGATTAATTCCATGTGGAGATAAGCAGAGGGATTTGAGGCAGTGGGATTTGATTTGGTCTTGAAAGAATAGCTATTGCCTTACAATTGCAATGTTTGAAATTAAGTAAGGTAAAAACGTTGTACCCCAATAGAATTTCTGCAGGCCATGCCTAGAGGGAATCAGTATCAAACACATCAGGAGAGCTACAGATGAAATTATGCAGGCCAAAGATTGGAGGAAAATGCCAGACAGATGCTATGCCCAGTCCATAGCTGACCTTCTCATTAGCAAGAACTATACAATGATTTTTGTTTTATGTTTGCTGTTTGTTTTGTTCCCTCTTTCCGCAACCCTTCTGTATTTCTCTGAATAATTACACAGTACTCCTTCATAATACTATTTCCTATACCTTCATCTTATATACTTTTCCCTTTTCCCTATCTTCCTATGTCCTTCCTTTTCCCACCCCCATTCTGTGTTCTATGTAATTTTCAAAACTTATACCTCTAACCATTGTTAAGGTCTCAGTGTTCCTTTATTTACAACTTTATTGGGAAGATAGTTGAGGCTTTCAATTGTTTCTTACCATATTTAAATATTTGACCTTGATACTGCTGTTGGCTCTCTCTATCTGAGTGGAAGTAAAAGAGAAACTCACCCAAACAGATATGCAAATCTCAATGTAGAAACACCAGAAATGTGAAAAGGCCAGGATATATCACTCCCCCTAAACCTTATAATAATCCAATAACCTAACTGAAAGACACTGAATTGGATGATATGCCAGATAATGAATTCAAAACCCTACTTTTCAAAATGATCAATGACCTCAAAGAAGACTGAAATAAATAGACAAATGAAGTTCTAAAATCAATTCAAGACCTAAACAAGAAAGTTAACAACATGGATAAGAAATTCAGAAAAGAAATTGAAATTGTCAAAAATACTCAAACAGAAATGTTGGAAATGAAAAGCTCAAAGAATTAAAAACACAATAGATAGCATCATCAGCAGACAAGACCAAGCAGAAGAAAGAATATTAGAGGTGGAGGATAAGATTGTGGAAATATTGCACTCAGAAAGCAATAAAGAAAAAAAAAAGTAACAATTGGATCACAGCCTTTGAGAACCATGGGACACAATCAGGAGACCAAACCAAATAATCTGTGGGGTAGAAGAAAAAGCTGAGACACAAACTAAAGACATAGAAACATACTCAATGACATTATAGCAGAAAATTTCCCAAATCTTGGGAAAGACATAGACACCCATGTACAGGAAGCATTTCAAACCCCAAGAAGACATGACCAGAAAAGAACCTCACTACATCACATCATAATTAAATGTCAAGACTAGACAACAAAGAAAGGATACTGAATACTGCAAAGAGAAAAACTACCAACTTACATACAACAATAAACACATAAGAATCAACCTCAGACCTATTAGTATAAATCCTGAAAGCCAGGAAAGCAAGAAACAATATAGTTCAAACTCTGAAAGAAAATAGTTGAAAACCAAGACTACTGTATCCAGAAAAGTTATTCTTCAATTTTGATGGAGAAATAAACACTTTGCAGGATAAGTGTAAGGTAAAGCAGTTTGTGTCTACCAAGTCTGTATTACAGAAAGTACTTAAGGGAATTCTACACACAGAAGAGGAAGAATGGTGGTCAAAAACACAAGAGCCTTGGAAAGAGTAAAATTCAAAAGGAGAATAGATGAATACATGAGAACTAGGAAGGTATCAAATACATTCAACTTAGCAAACCAAAACCCCAAAGACGAATCATGGTGAAAGAAAAGAACAAACATAGGAATTGGGGGAGGGGGGATAAAGGAGAGTGATGGAGGGGATGAATTCAAGTATAATATGTTTGACATATTATAAAAACTTTTGAAAATGCCACAATATACTGCCACCCAGCACATTAATAAAAAAAAAATTACTAAAAGCAAAAAGAACAAGCAATACTCAAACGAACCTGGAAAAATACCTCAACAGACTATAGGAAGCAGTTAATACCTCTCAATCATAGCCCTAAATATAAATGGTCTTAACTCTCCAATTAAAACACATAGACTGGCTGATTGTATTAAAAATCAGGATCCAACTATTTGTTGTGTACAAGAAGCATACCTCATAGGCAAAGACATAGGCAAAGTGAAAGATGGAAAAAGATATACCAAGCATGTAAGAATAGCTTTACTCATATTGGAAATAGCAGATTTCAAGCAAAAGTGAGTCAGAAGAGACATGGAAGGTCTCACATTAATAAAGGAAAATCCATCAAGAAGACAAAATGAGTCTAAATATGTATGCACCAAATGTGAGTAGTCCCAATTTTATAAAACATTACTGAAAATAAAGGGATAGATGGGTCCAGATAAAATAATAGTGTGTTATCTTGATACCCTAATCTCATAAAAAAATAGAACATGCAGACACAAATCAACAAATTTTAGAACTAAACAATACCATTGATGAAATGGATTAACATATATATATATAAAGCATTCTACCCAACAGCAGCAGATTACACATTCTTCTCAGCAGCCAATGGAACTTTCTTCAAAACAGATCACTTCTTAGGCCTTAAAGCAAGTCTTAACAAATACAAAAAAAACTGAAATAATTCCATGTGTCCTAACAGACCATAATGGAATAAAATCAATGGCAAGAAAAACAACAAAACTATTCAAACACATGGAGAATGAACAACACACTTCTGATTGATCACTGGGTCATTAATGATATTAGGAAAGAAATTAAAACATTCCTAGACTCAAATGAAAATAAAAACACAACCTACCAGAATCCGTGGGACACAGCACAGGCAATGCTAAGAAGACATTGTATAACCTTGAGTGCCTACACTGGAAAGTTAGAGCAATCTCAAATAAACAACCTAATGATGCACCTCAAGTTCTCAGAAAAACAAGAACAAGGCAAACCCCAAATTAGCAGACAGAAAGAAATAATAAGGATCAGGGCAGAAGTCAATGAAATGGAGACTAAAAGAACGATGCTAAGAATCAATGAAACAATTGGTTCTTTGAAAAGATAAACAAGATTAATAAAACTTCAGCCAAACTAAAAGAAGGAAAAAGATCCAAATTAGAGATGAAGAAGAGGATATCAGAAGATATCACTATGGAATATTTTAAAAACTTATATTCCAATAAACTGGAAAATCTAGAAAAATGGGTAAACTTCTAGACATGTATAACCAATCAAAATTGATATAAAACAGATCTATAATGAGTAATGAGATTTAAATAGCAATAAAGAGTCTCTCAACAAAAACCCAGGATTGGATGGGTTACTGCTGAATTCTATCTGACCATTAAAGAAGATCTCATACCAAGGCTTCTCAAACTATTCCAAAAAGTACAAAGGGAAGGAATGCTATCAGACTCATTCTATGACACCAGTATAATATCAAAGCCGGGTAAGGACACTACAGTAACAAAAAAGTTATATACCAATTTCTTTGATAAACATAGACACAAAAATTCTCAATAAAATACTTTCAAACTTAATTCAATGACACATTAACAAGAAAGTACACCATGAGTGGGTTGGTTTCATTCCAGGGATATAATCATGGTCAACATATGCAAATCAATAAATATAATATAGCACATAAAAAATCAGGACAAAACCACATGATCAATTCAACAGATTCAGAAAAAAGGCCTTTGACAAAATTCAACATCCTTTCATAACAAGCTCAGAAGAAACTAGAAATAGAAGAAATGTATCTCAACATAATGAAGGTTATATTTGGCAAAACTATAGTGAACGTAATACTAAACAAAATAAAAGCTGAAATCATTTTCTCTAAAGTCAGGAACAAGACAGGAGTGTCACTTTTTCTAGTCTTAGTCAATATAGTACTTGAACTTTTAGCCAGAGTAATAAGACAAGAGAAAGAAATAAAATAGATATAAATAGGAAAGGAAGAAGTCAAATTATCCCTATTTGCTGATGATATGATCTTAAACCTAAAAGAACCTAAAAACCTTAGATCTTAAAAACACTTGCGGCAAGTAGCAGGATATAAAATCAACATATACAAATTAGTAGCTTTTCAATATACCAACAGCAAACAGGCTGAGAAGTAAATCAGGAAAACAATTCCATTCACAATAGCCTCAAAACAAACAAACAAACAAACCAACCTAGGAATAAATTCAACAAAGGAGGTGATAATCTGTACAATGGAAACTCTAAAACACTGAAGAAAGAGATCAAAGTAGACATTAGAAGATGGAAAGACCTCCCAGGTTCATGGGTTAGTAGAATCAATATTGTAAAAATGGTTATATTATATTCAAGTCAATTCCCACCAAAATTCCAATGACATTCTTTGCAGAAGTAGAAAAATTAATACTAAAGTTCATATGAAAGCACAAAAGACCCCAAATAGCCAGAGCAATTCTGAGTAAGAAGAGGCTAGATGTATCAACCATTTGCCTTCAAACTATACTACAGAAGGTATAGGCCCAGTTGGAGAGTGATGAGACAATAATCATTCTGACTATTGAGGAAAAGTTCAAATAGGACAAAAATGGAATCTGCACTCATTTCGTTTCATTTATTTTAAGAAACCCAACCAGTTCCCTGGGAAGCTACAGCATAACAGCTACATGTACAACCAACTAATCACTTCCATGGTGATGAACAAAGCCACATCCTAGAGAGAATCCCACCCACCAAAGAGATCAGTTTGGAACTAAAGGGAAGAAATGCACTATGATTGGGTACAGATGTGAATTTAGTGCTTCACAAGATACCAGGTTAAAATTATGGGAATTTAGAAGATGGAGAAAGATTTCCAATGTACAATTCCTCCAAGGACACTCACCTGCAAATGCGCTTTCTTTTTTCCTGTCTATGATAAACCCTTAATGTTTCTAAGTCCATTCTTCCCCACTTCAAGTGTTTGCTGAGCACCTGCCTATTCAGCTAGAGACACTATTTACTAGCCTCCTCTGAAATATCTGGGGCCACATGACTCATTCTTGCTACTAGACAATAAGTGCAAGTGACATGTTCAATTTCTGTATCACTTTGCTTAAAATGAAGTTCCTTGCCCTTTAATTCTCTGCCTTTACCCTTTCCTTGGGCTGGAATATTGATGAATTTCTAGAGAAATTTGGCCATACAGTCAACAGTAACCAGCTGTGATAGCAAAACAGTACGATAGAAGGAATTTGTATCTCCAAGTGGTCTGGTAGAGCCCTAGACTAAACACTTACACTTGTATCATGTATGTGAAGAAAAAAAACCACTTCTCTCTTGTTTGACCTACCATATTTTGGGAGTCTTTCATAAGAGCATATTAAAAGATAAGCCATCTTAATCAATCCTAACAATCTTCACTAATAAAGAATCATAACCAAACTCTTGGAGCTTGCCAAAAACTTAGAAAAATCATCTTGCCTAGGAAGCCATGTACATATGAACTTGATTTCTACTTGTAAGTCATTGTCATGCATAAGGATTCTACCCGCGTTGGGTAGATGTGGCAGATGGGACAGGCTTTACCTTGCCATCCATATACTCCAGCCATTGGAGCCCCAAGTTGGTGACAATTCTAGGAGTGCCGTCATCTACAGGGAGGATGTCTACTCGGAACTGTGAGGTGCTGCAGTTGTAATCTGTGGAGAGCCAGAAAAGAAATCTCATCACCAAGGACCTCTAAAGCAGAAAAACCTGAAATCTGTTGACACCGAGAGATAAAGAACGGGTAGCTGGCAGCATCCACCCCTTCTCATCATGGTATGAAGCCTCAGGGAGAATGCTGGCTGCCCAGGTGAGAACCAGGTGGGAAAAGAAGTGAAATACAAGTGGCACTTTTGCTGGAATAGCAACTGTTATAAAAGCTGGTTTTTACACACTCATGCCTTGGATTTTTTTTTTTTTTTTTAAAGATGGGGTCTTGCTGTGTTGCCCAGGCTGGTCTTGAACTTCAGTGTTCAAGCAATCTTCTCTCCTCAGCCTCCAGAGTAGCTGGGAACACAGGTGTATATCACTATGCCTGGCTGTATTTACACTTCCTTAGTTGAAGTCAATATTGCCTAAGATGAAATAATCCACAAGATATTTTTCTTTCAATAACCCTTGTAAGAATTTTCATGGAAGACTTCCAAAAATCATCATTAGAATGTCAATGTCAAAGTCTGGAGGTGGGATTATGTCAGACATGACAAGAGGCTTCCATAAGAAGAGATGTTCTCTTTTTCCTTCCCTTTGTTTGTTTTGAAGAACAACTATTTCTATGGGGAAAAGAAGCAGAAGAAATCAAGAATAAAAGCATTTGTGGGAATAGCAAAAGGAAGTTTAGTTGATAATTACACACACACACACACACACACACACACACACACACGGGATCCTAGGGAACACCTCACCCATCCTGAGCGGATACATCAAGGTGGAATTAAGGGGAGCAAGATGCTGGCTTTTTAGTCTTCTACAACCCACCTTCTAAGTAACTCCCATTATTAAAAGGACACAGTCCCTCGGAAGACCTGTTCTGTTCTCTTATGCTTACAAGCTTCTTGCTGATACATCTTGAAATCTTTTTTTCCCTTTTGAAAGCCTAACTATCTGGGGAGCAGCTACAGTGGGAAGAAAATAAAAACCAAACAGTGATGGGCTGCCAAGTGGTGCTGCAGCATCAGACAGCAGAGCAATCACGAGAGCCGCCCATGACACACTGGTCAGCTGAGGATGACCTTCTGTGTCTTTGAAGGACACAGGAGGATCTCCCTGGCAGGAAAACAATCATTCAGCAACAGCCTAGGAAAGCAAACCTGCAGAACTGAGTGTACCCTTTTGTCTTGAAGGCACATTAGGGCATGAGCAAGCTGCTCACTAAAGCTGCTTCTGCAGGTTCAGGCACTGATGTGTGGGAAGTAGGGGCGTCCCTGTCTCCTTACTTGGGAGGTGCGGTTATTCCCAGAGGAGGTTTATGGCACAGCAGGACGTTGCTAAGGAATGAAGGAATCAGTTAAATGTGGGGAAGGCAGTGGCAGTAGACAGAGGACTTGAACAGGGAATCTAAAAGTTGTTTGGTGTTTTGTTGGGTTTTTTTTATCTGGACAGTTGTTTGTCAGAAAGCAGTAATTCTAGGAAGTAAGGTTGGGCAATTGCACGACCTCAAGAGAAAAGCTGGTCCTAAAATGACAATGATGATGATGATTACAGCTATACATTATATGATGTTTCCTGTGTGCCTGGCACAGGGCTTGGTGCTTTCTGTACATCAGGAGAATAAATATCACTCCCATTGTACAGACAGGGTAGGTGAAGCTTAGAAACGTTAGATGACACTGTCACTTATCTTGTGACAGAGCCAAAATTTAAATCAGTATCTCTTGGATATAAAAGCCATGCTCCTAACCACTGCTATTTCTCAAAGACTGAGAAACTCTGGTTGGACTGAGGGATCTTAGTCCAAAAACAGAAAGACAGTCTAGAGTCGTGTGATACTATTGAAAATCCAGATGAGAGAAAAACTCAAGGAGTAAGGGTAGGCTATAAAGAAAGAAGAAACAGTAATACTAACAATTATCATCTGCTAGTGAGGCCCTCACTATTTTCCGAACAGTGTTAAACACTTTATGAGGACTGCCCCCTTTGATCCTAACACTAAGTATTTGCATCTGTGATTACTACTGTGCTCATTGTACAGATGAAAAACTGAGACTGAGAGAAGTGATTTGCCTAAGAGCAATAAGCCAGTAAATTAACAGAGGAAGAACCGCAAGCTGTGCAAGAATCTGTTGTGTTTCTTGCATGCAGGGCAGACCTTCTCTATCTGTGCCCCTCACCTCTTTTCCTCCTTCCTCAATGATGAAGAATGGGTTGGTCCCATCAGAAACAGTGAAGGTGAACCGGTCTTTGAGGGAGTTGCTGCCATCATGGCTGTAGCTGACCCGATTCTGGTAGATGTCTTCCATGGTGAAGGTGGAGGTAAGGTGGAAGTGCTGCCCCCTGGTGGTTCTCTCTATGGTGCCATGGCGTGGGGGCTGCACAATGGTGAATGTGACAGAGTTTGCCTGTCCAGGAGGGAAAAAGCAAGAGGGAACTTCATAACAGAAACCAGCTGAGTGAGTGAATGGTGGCCAACTGGTAGTCAAGAGAAACAGAACCACTTATCAAACAAGGATTGCATTTTCTTTTTAAATGCCCAAAACAAAGCTAAAGAGAAAAACCATCTACTAAAATTGGACTTGCATTCTGGTGCCTTCAGTTTTAACACTAAAACATGGGAATTTCTTCTCTTCAGGTCATAGGGGAAGCCTACAGTTTTAACTTCTATTGAGATGGCAGGAAGTAGACCTTTAAGAACTAAAGGAACTATACACTTCCTTTACTTTCCTAACACTTATCTATAGAGACCCTACAGAAACTAAGGTCTCATTTTCTAATTGCTGCTTCTAAGGTGACCTGTAGAAGGAAAAAGAAAGAGGCATAAACTCTGCTCAAGACTTTCCAGTGGTTTCTACTGACATAGCATGGCCTGGTTCCAGGGTCCTTCTCTGGTCTCACTCTTCCTTCCCACTTATTCACTGGGTTCCAGCCTCTTGGCTTCTTGTAATCTTTGTTGCAGTTATCCTCGGGATAACTTTGCACTTCTAGCTTCTCTGCCTGGACAGTGAATTCTCCTAGGTAACTGCATAACACCCTGATCCTTCACTTAATGATTTCTCTGCTCCAATATGAACTCCTCAGAAAGGCCTTCCCTGACCACTCTGTTGAAAATAGCACCCCTTGCCCAGATGTGGTGGTGCATGCCTATAATCCCAGATCCCAGCACTCAGAAGACAGAGGTAGGAAGATTGTGAGTTCAAGACCAGCCTGGGTTACAGAATTAAGAAGCCTATCTCTGAAACAAAAAGGAAAAACAAAAATGAAAAAGGCACACCCATCAATCTCTACCTCTTTATTTCATGTTATCTGATAGGATCTGTTCTTTCTTTCCTGTCTTTTCTCCCAACTAAAGGGAACAGATACCTTTGTTCACACCACTGCTTTTAGCATCAAGAGTAGAGTCTAGAACCTATTAGGTAATAAACATTTGATGAAAAAATGAATGAATGAGTGCTGGCAAGGGAGGGAGCAGCACGTAGAGCTAATTAGTAAGTGTGGTGGTATGTATCACATGAGCTAAGTCATGTCCCAATGTCAGATGCACCATTAGAACTACAGTGTAGTCTCCATCTGCTCAGTGTTACTGTACAAGCCCTTATCTTTGAGGATGCTCAAATTGGGATGATTAGATACCATAGGAGAAGTCTGGATACAGAGGTGAAATGAGGGAAAAGTGGATATGTGCAGAAAAATCTGTGGTCACTTTAAAACGGAATTAAGAAAAACACTGGGTGAAATGTCATCTACCTGATTTTCTATGAATCATCATCATCATCAAAATAATAATAAAAAACCCAGCATTGTCAAATGTAAACAGGGGAGAGCATGAATATATTTTGATGTTATGAGGGGTTTAAAAACAATGTGATCTTCTTGGCCCTTCCCAAGAAGGCCACAGAATCTTCTGTGTTCACATGTTCTAAGGATGCCTGCACATTCCTTACCACTGTGCCTCGCCATCGGGGTGTGCAGCCACAAAGCAATAGTTGCCACCAGCTCTGTCATTCCCTAGGCCAGAGATCCCAGGGGAGTGCCCTTACCTCTGTGTCTGCATCTACTGCCTTGAGCTCAAATTCTGTGATGGTCTTCCTCACGCCCTCCTGCACCCGCATCCCCCAGCTCTGCACGACAGGCAGCGAGTCGTCCACAGGGTGAAGAGTGATGTGGAAGGTCTGAGTCACCTAGGATGGGAATGTGCATGTGGCCATCCAACAAGTAGGCAGGTGCATTCTGCAATCTCTTTCACACCATTCTTCTATGTCTAATTCTCCAGGAGCCCTAAAGTGAATACACTTGGACACCAGCCCAGGTGGCTGATGGAACCTCCTATTTCTTGGCTGACAGCAGAGGAAAATGATGCTTTTGTATCACCAGCCTTTCTGCTCAGTCCATGCAGAGAAGACAGCTAGGAATCAATATCCACTCAAGGATGGAACCCAGGTCCTCACCTACCTCACTGACTCCATCAGACAGCACAAAGATGAAGGCATCTGAGTGTTTCTCAGCCTCACTAGAATGGACATATTGAACATTTCGTGAAGTCAGGTCAGCTTGAGTAAAGGAACTAATCTGGAGACCTAGTGAAAGGGGGAGAGAGAAACAGGAAAGACATCCAAATGCAAGCCACTCCTCAAAAGCCAGGGAAATATTCTCTCAGCAACTAGAGTCTCTGTATTTTTCACATTGCATTTGTGTTCTGCCCTCAAGGACCTTCTTGTTCAGTTGTTCGTGGATTCTGGTTTCTGCAACAGCATATGTTTGGTGGGAACACTTGCTAATTTTATTACCCAGGCATTTACTGTGTGCCAAGGCAAGGGCAGGTGTTCAATAAATGTTCCTCTCCTTTCTCTTGGGGTTTATTCAGTGGACAAAACCTGTGGAAGGTGGAGCCATGGCTCATTCTCCAAACCCCTCTCTCTTAAGTCTCACATTCCCCCACAACTCACAGTCCTTTCTAGAAATGTGCCCTAATTTTTAATCCTGTGATGGTTTAGCTTTTGAGCACTGGAGTTATAGAGCTTGGCTACACATAGCCTTGTTTGTGTGATTGGTGAGCCATCCCTGGCCTCTTTCATTTTACTGGAGAGCTTTCAAGGTCCTTTTCAAGCCTCAGGTCTATGATCTTAGCTGCTCATATACCATTTTAGCCCATCAGGCAGTGACGGAACTTACTATATGACTTTGGGGCTTGAATGATCATTCTATATCAAACTGGAAACTACCTGAAAAAATAACATCCTTTAATAACATGACATAGAAAAATTATGTTAAGTGTTTTATAGCATCATTTTAACAGTAAAAAGCAATTATAAAGCAATTTTAGATGATAAGCTATTCCATAAATGAACAGCAACTCTGTTTCTAAATGCATAGCATCACTTAGCAGAAACAGTCCAGATTCCTTGCTGCTATCTTGGGACTATGGAGGCTCTTTCTCTGGTGCCAGTCAAGATGGAAACAAAATCAAGTCTTTTAGTCTCTTAGCATAAGTCTCCTCTTTCTGATTCTGGGTGTAGGGTACTAATCCATTTTATCTTATCCTTTACTATGGCCCTGAAATTTGTTTGCTGCTTCCTAGGCTTTATTTATTTATTTATTTATTTATTTATTTATTTATTGTTATTGTTAATCCTAGAAAAAACCTATTTGGCTTTTCTATTAAAAAATAGAGACTCTACTTTGACTATTTTCTATTTATAAGTATGACAACCGGATCACTGCTTTATCCTTAAAAAGAAAAAAATCAGCCCACATGCTTTACATTTGCATCTCTCTTTACCATCTGAAAATTTTCACCCAGATCCAACAGCCTTCTGACTACCGTGGCATTGATTTTCGGATGAGGCATTTTATATTTCTGTGCTTGCTTCATCAGTTCTTGACAGGCAAGAGATGTAGCTCCCTGTCTTATAGCTTTGTCTTGTGGTTCTGGACAGAAATCCATACCATTCTTTAAAAATTTAATAACTTCAGACTAGCTGCACTGAGAAATTTAAGTCTCTTCCCTCACTGGGAATCCATCCTCATGGTCCATGGGAAAATACCTGTTCTGCATTCACACAATCAACTGTCTACCTTGTTCCTTTTATGAGAGTCTAACACTGTGACTGATTAAGATTTTGTCTTCTATTTTACATTTTTATTGAACAAAATTATTTTACTGATAATTTTTAATAATTTTTGCTAAAATTGACATATAACAAATTACAAATATTTAAAGGGTTTAATTTCACAAGCATTGGCACTCCCATGAAACTATCTCCTCAACCAAAATACTAAACCTAACCATCACTCCAAAAGTTTCAATTGACCTTCATAATCCTTCTATTCTCCAACCCCTCTCCCACCCAAAGCATGGTACAATTCATGTACCAATGAGTTGCTTCTGACACTAGAAGTTAGTTGGCACTTTTTCTATTTTTTTAAATAAACAGAATCATGAAGCATGTACTATTTTGTGTATGGTTTCTTCCATGTAGCCTAATTATTTTAAGATTTGGCCTGTATTAGTAGCTATTCCTTTTTATTGCTGAGGAGTAGTAATTAATTGTGTAGCTAAATCATAATTTCTTTACTCACTTGGTGGTGGGCATTTAGTTTGGTCCTAATACAAATAAGGCTCTATGATTACCTGAGTACCCATCTATGTATGGACATAAGTTTTAAATGTCTAGCAGCGGAATAACTAGAAAATGTGCTAGGTGTATAATTAATATTTTAGGAAACTACCAAGCTGTTTTTCCGAAATGGTGACCATTTTACCTTCCTCCTCCTAGCCATATCTAAGAGCTCTTTGCTTAGTCTTAGAGGATGGTGCCGAATATTCAGTTCAACACACGTCAAGCATCCACCATGGCAGAACCTTATTTCAGGCTTGCATATGTTGAATTTTATCTTTTAACAACTCTGAAAAGTCAAGGTAGGCATATTACACCCATTTTTATACATTATGGCATAGTAATAGAATTATTTACATAATTAAAAAACTGGGTAACCTGTCACAGAGCTACTAAGAAGGCAGCTGCTGGGACTAGAAGCCAAGGGACTCTAATTCCAAAGTTGATGGCAGCTAGTACTTTTTGTAAGTTTCCTGGAATGGACCTGCTTGGATTTCACCCTATTCTTTAGCTTTAAAAAAAAAATACAAGTAACATATGTCTATTAAAGAAAATATGAAAAACAAAAAAGTAGGAAAGAATCAAAAAACACTAATACAGCTACCATTGAAATATCACCATTAATGTAATTTTGAATCATTCCCTCTAAAATACTTTATTAACTATAGCGTCTTTCTTGTCTTTGATGGGGTTTAATATTATTAAAATGATATCCATAATTACAAAATCTTCAAGAGGACAAAGATTTTTTTCTGGTTTCATTTCCTTCATTCCCTCCCTCCTTCCTTCCCTACCCCCTTCCTTCCTTCCTTCCTTTCTTCCTTCCTCTCTCCCTCCCTGTTTTTCTCCCTCCCTCCCTTTCTTTTTTGAGACGGGGTATCACTGTGTAGGTCAGGTTGGCTTGCAACTTTTTCTCCTGACTCAGCTCTTTGAGTGCTGGAATTACAGGCATGTATCACCACTTCAGCTTTTTTACTGGCTTCTTCACTTACGTGCACCTAGAACAGTTCCTAGTACCTGGCAGGTACTTGAAGAGTATCTGGTGAGTGTATTTATCTAAGAGGTTCCATTGAGCCCAGACTTTCAATCCCTGCACACTTTTCATTTGTTAAATTTTAGCCTTTGCTAACTGGGTACTGGAAGACATCAGTTCCTGACTTGCCAGCACACTGGTGTTTCTAATAACATATTCCCCTACTGGCTGTCACAGTGGGTAGCTGTTGTTTGAAGTATTGAAGGCTTTTAATCCCAATGAAGGCGTTTGCAGTCACCAACCTGCTGGCTAAACTATGTATGTGGCAGTGTCAGGGAGACCCACATTAACCCTGTCAGCTTTTCTAATTCCCCCCGGAAGGCCCTCATGTCAGAGAAAGCTCAGTCCTGGTCAGGGAAGCGGGGTGGAGGAAAGCATCTCTGGAGAAATTTATCTTCTTCTGCCACTGGCTTTCAGCACAGCTATGGTGGCTCTGTGCATGTCATGCATGTTTCACTGCAGCAGCTCTTGCCGTGGGAACTCTCAGCCTTCTGGCTCAGATCTCCTCCAGAGCCTTGGTTATGGGTTGAGCTATGCTTTGCCTCACCTCAGCTTCACATGTTGAGATCCCAACTCTCCATGTCTCCAAATGTGACCTGATTTGGAAGCAGAGTCTTTGCAGATGCAGTCTGGTGACGTGAGGTCATTAGGGTGGGCCCTAATTGAATATGGCTGATGTCATGCTAACGAGAAATTTAGGCACAGATCTGTACAGGGAGAATACCAATAGGTACATGACATGACCATCTACAGATCCTTCCCTCACAGTCCTCAGTGGCACCTTGAACTCAAACTTCTGCCCCTAAAACTGTGACACAGTAAGATTTTGCTGCTTAAGCTGCCTGGTCTGTGATAGATACTATTTTATATGGCCCCGACACCTTCAAATGCCTCTGCTCTCAGAGAAAATCCAAGCTAACAAGGGGTGTCTCACGAGCCTCGCAAGCTCTTGTTCCTGCTGATCTAACTGGGGGCGACTGGAGATGCAGAAGGACAAAGGATAGAAGACAGACCTGCAGAAAGTTGGGGCCAGGTGTGCTGGGCATTTGGATGGAGACGCACAGCAGCCTCATTGCTTCTTTCCTCTATTAACTCCTCTTTTACTCTGCTTCTTTTTGCTTCTTTAAAACCTTAGTTGTAAAGTCTTTCTTCTTTTCTATTCTTTAAAGTCTCTTTCCTTAGACTTGCACTGTCCCATGTTTTCCTTAATCTCTCTTAAAGTCTTGGCCCTCAGACTCGCAGACAAACAACAGCCAGCAGCAGCAGCAGTAGCATTCTTGTAAGCTGCCCAGGCAGTAGCTTCCATCACTCTCAAGCAGTCAATCAATCAACACCCAATCCAATCCTCAACCAATCCCCACCACTCCCCTTCTTCAGCGAGTCTTTTATAAACAAGAAGGTGGAGCAACAGCTCTTGGGGAGGGGCGTGACATTGTAACAAGAGAAACCTGTGATCCTACTTCAGCCATGCTGCATTTTGCTCTAGCTCTCTTCTGCGACTGGGGCCATGCCAAACTCACCCTGCCGATTTGACACAACTGTGCTTATGTCAAGTTCTCATAGGCTTCTCATAATTCATTCCCCACAGGGGTGCATCCTATTTTGGTGCTGTCACAACACCAAGTGAGGGTGGAATAAACAGAACACTTATAGGCAGGAGCAGGGGCTCACACCTGTATTCCTAGCTAGTCAGAAGGTAGAGATCTGGAGGATTGTGGTTCCAAACCCAATATGGACAAAAAGTTCATAAGATACCATCTCAACCAATAAAGCTGGGCAAGGTGGTGGGTGCTGGGCTAGAACAGACCAGGCATAAATGTGAGAGCTTATTATAAAAGTAACTGAAGCAAAAAGGGCTGGGGAGGGCATGGTTCAAGTGGTAGAGCAAATGCCTAGCAAGTGCAAGGCCCTGAGTTCAAACCCAATA